GTCATTGCCAGGCTGGAACTTCAATATCTTACCACAATAAACATAATGTAGAGGAGTGTAGTTGTATCTGCTAAGAAGAAGAAGAAGACTAACTGGCGGCCTATGAGAAATAAGATAAATGCGTGAGGTGCTAGGTGGTGGACGACATAGGCGGGGTCTGCAGTTGGAACAAATCGAAACATTTCACTCTCGTCCCATTCCTTAGCAGTTTTGAACATATAGCGAAGCACTGCCCGGCATCCCATCTGCGTTCCAGCACGTCGCTGGTAGTTCTTGGAATGTGGCGGCCACTCGCTCCGGTTGTTAGAACACCACTCAAGATTTTCTGCGCTTGGGACCTTATTGGCTTTAAGACACTCAACGGCAATTCGGAAAATATTCCCAAAGCCTCTTCGTAATGACTTGTTGCTTTTCAGGTTCTGTCGCACATCGGAATTGAGGTGCGCGATGATGTAGTCGTTGTCTTTTACCCAAAAGCTGCCATCATCAATTCCTTCCTGCATAAGGTCATACGTAAGCTCGCCCTGAAAGGTTAAAGAGGTCCTCATTCGGGCGGAAATAAAACCTCCCACGCAGTCGCCACATGTACACCCGTATCGAAGGCATGCTTTATTAAGCCCCACAGTATCCCGTCCAAACAACAGTGAAAGACAGGACAATGCAGCTTCAGAGTTTCCTTCAAAGCGATCCGATATGTTGAGAACCCTGAAAGGACCATATACCTTTCGTGTTCTCATTCTCTCTAACTTCTCCTGTAATACTTCGAGCGGGGTGTACCCGGCAATGTCACGAGCAACCTTCCAAGTGTCGGCGTGAGGGACATTCTCAAGTAGCCATTGCGTACTTAGGGGCTTGATTTCGCAAGCTGTTAGATGTAGAAGCGTGGCTTCAGAGTTCGTCACTCGATCCCAGCCAATCTTATCATCAGCATGAGTGATGAAGAAAGCCCTAAGCTCATCATCCGTTAGAGTGAGACTTGCATGATGTAGTGGCAATATGTCACGAAGCCTTTCCATTTTCAGTTCCTTTACATTAGTCCAACGGTCTGCTTCATAAATCATTTCAATCTCTTCGTTCTCGAGATCTTCCGCATTACTCCTTCGTGGGTCAAAATCACACGCCTCCGCCAATGCGCGAGACTGATGCTGGAGATTGAATGATAATGCAAAACAGCGAGATGCTCCAATTCGACGAAACCCGCACGATCGCCAAAAGTCGATAGCACCAGATTGATTTCGATATTTTGTTGTTAAGCGTTCTTCAGCGGATTTGCCCTTGAGCTGCGGCTCGATATCAGCTGTTAGATATCCAGGACTGACTAGAGCGTGAAGAGTCCATGCTCGCTCGAAAGCCTCGTCGGAACCATAGATAAGATCCGCGTCTTCACCATCTGGTCTTTCATGTTGGAGGAACTTTTCCGCCTTTTCCAATAGTAAAGACACCACTTTCCGTCCGAGTCCTTTCCGACGTAGTTCGAGTGCTGTAACATGAAGCTTCTCAAGTAGGAAAAAAGGGCCATGATCGATCTCGTTTCCCCATATACCAGCTCCTCTTTGCACTGGGTGGTCCTTGTACTTGGCCTGGACTGTTCCATATCGATCAAAGATATGAAAGGCCACATCGCACGTTTCCTCGCTGGGCTCTTCCATCCTTTCCCAGAACTCAGGGCGAACACCTTCTCGATGAATATACCGGGCTAGAGCGTTGGCGACAGTGACGCCATCGCAGGTGCATTCGGCGACAAAGTTTTTCATCCACTTAGATTCGCTGAATCCTTCATCTGTCAAAAATAGCCGGATTTTAATTGGTCGTGCCGGGTCATCGGAGGTGGTATATTCGTGCTCCTCAATTTCCTGTTCGTCATTCAAATCTTCGCTCTCATTTTCGGTCCACCATCCTTCCTCATCCTCATCCGAACGATTGTACTCAGAGTAATCTTCTGTCGACTCGTCATCATCTTCGAAGTCCATTCCTGGACGTCAAATAATTGTCAGTAGAGCTCACATTTCCTATCTATTAGTGGAAGGAAGGGAAGAACGAACTGCTTCGCTTGAGGGGTACTCGCTTCCCCGCCATTTTCTCCCCGTCATTTTCCATTTTTATCAGCCAGACTAGCTTTCTAGCTTATTTGATCGAGACGAGTATAATTTAAGAGAAGAGGGATAGGTGAGTGGAGAGACCAGAGTGGAGTCAGTCATTCGTGAGGGATTTACTATTTCTTGTACTTATAGGAGGCAGGCTGTAGGAATGACTAATGTATTTCCTAGGTTTGGCTTCTCATGCCAATACAAAGTACCATCACATGGGCGGGGAAGCAGAATGGGGGCCGTTCTAGCTATGGCAAGCAGATGCAGAATATCTAGACATTACGAGTCATTTCGACTATGGTCGCATCACTGAGGCTGTGGCAAATTTGGAGATTCTGCGACGAGGTCCTCTAGGAAAATCACACACTGCTGAGGTACAAGACCACTGACGGACACTGCGGTGACCCACATTTCCAGGGCTGCTGAATGGCCAATGACACAAGCCCTCAGCGAGGACTTCTCGCTGAGGAGTCTTCATAACGGGACAGCATGGGGTGACTGGCTCGATTTGTCCGTTTCGTCGTACTTCTGCTTTTTAATAGCCACAAGATGACTTGAGTCAGGCTAATCATAAAACGCTGGTTGGAGATGCTAAATTTAGTTGATTTTATGCTGCTTTCCCCCCACCTTCGGCTGTTGATTAGCCCCACAGAGTAACAGTTTCTATCTGCTGCAACGATTGTGCTTGGTGGTTCCTCGGTGCCTACTGTGCCTTGGCCGCTAGACTAAATAACCGCGGAACAGAACAGACTCAATGTGGGATGCCGGATGCGTAATCTAGAGATCAGAAGCATTGGCCAAGTTTGGAGCACCGAACAATCGGAATGTCGCGAGTGAGCAACCCCCCTTAAAGAGAGCGAGTACTTATAGCATGACGGGCCTCCTCTCACTCCTGTAAGTTCTAAGCCAGTGAAATGCTTTAACGGAAATTTAATTATCTTCTCGAATCCAGAATGTTCCAATCGCAACCCTTGTTGGTTGAGGTGGGACAGGAGCGTACCCGATTATGGGTGCATTCGGCAATTCTAGAACGCTTTCCAACTCTGTTAATGTTGGAGTTAGACGCTTTCCCAAACTTGCAAGACGAACGATGTCTCCTTCTAGAACACATTGACCCAGACATCTTTGGTTGGTGCTGCGAGTATGCCTACACAGGGAACTACACATTCATTCTTTCACCAGGCCGGGAATCGACACAAAAACAATCAATTCGTCTGGCCAAGAAGGCACAATGTTTGGTCAGCAAACAAACGCCCAAGCTACTATATATGCTTTGCAAGTTCCTGGAAAGACACAAATTATTCCTAGCTTTGGTTGCTCCTTGTATGTATCTGGATTTTTATTCCTATATTTTTGATACTCCACCTCTGGGAATGATTTGTTAATTCCGGGGAGCCCTCGTGATCCCGGGATTCGTACTGTACTCAGGGGGCCAGGACCAGATTTAAAACGTGTGGGTCACCCCACTGATCCACTGGCACCGTTAGCCCAGGAGACACATTCTAGCTCCCAGGGCTGTCCAGTTCACCTCCAGGAGCTGTAGGTCCTCTGGGAACTATGAGCCTGACTCCTGGGAGCGACTGTCAGGGATATACATGAAGCATACAGGATGTTTGGAGAAATGATCTGCGGGACCCACATGGTGCATATGGGTTCCCCTGAACGCGAGGAAGCCTGTTCCTTTTGCTTCCTCGCGCTACGTCTTGTATCTAGAGTCGACTTTAGCTTTCTTTAATATTGACTATTCATCTACGTATACGTGAGATCCTCACAACGGACGGCTGTGGCCCCAGGATCCAAGGTAGAGCCCAGGAGCAGTCTGTCTCGCTTCCGCGATCAGTTACAACAGTTCCTGGAGGACATTTAGCTCCCAGAGGCCATGAGCAGTATGTGAGCTGAGACTGCAAAGCAAGAAATCTTTGCCGATTCCTATATCAAATACCCCTCATCGTCATCTTCCTCTCATCAACCGCAATATGTGAAGACTGTGGTCTGTCGTAGGGAACAGCATAATTCTCTGGAGCATATCGATGTCCTTACGAATAGATCGATCATCGGATGACGTCTATCGTAGGAAAGACCACGGTTTCAGCACCACCTGAATGTTCTCACGAATAGATTGATCGTCGGATCACGTCTATCGTAGGAACGACCACGGTTTCAGCACTACCTGAATGTTCTCGCGAATAGATTGACCGTCGGATCACATCTATCGTGGGAAAGACCACGAATTTTGGACGTTTTCATCTGGGCCCTTTGAGAAATAGGTTGTAAGTCTATTGGAGGAAATTGTGGTCTGTCGTGGGATGCGAAGCATGATCAACATGAGGGCTCATTTAAGCATACTATATTTTTGTTCGGCTACGCCCCTAATTCTCTTGATTTCCATACGTACAGGGTCTCCTGGTCAGCGTCTACACCAGGAGATTCGAGTAATTCCAAAGTGGGGCAAAGAGTAACCGTAAGTGGGCCAATCAAGTGTCGACAACCAAAAACCCACTTGAATACTATGGTGATTGCCTCGCCATCCACTCAGTCAACTCCTCCTCTTGCCATTCCTCACAGCAGTATTCTATATCAAATTCGTATTAGACCTGCAGATTCACATTTGAATTTGCGCTTACCGGAACTAAATATGTCACAATCTGCCCCTGCTTCCACAGAATTGCATAATTCCACTTCTTCAGTGTATTCTCTGATGGTGTTATTCCCGTCCCTAATCCTCCCTTGAGAGATCAAATGCTTGGTAGCCTGACCATTATCACCTGTGCAGATTGCAGAATACGTGAAGCACCAATCGAAGCAACTCTTGATAAAACACCACTTGCTGATATCTCTGTTACAGGACGGGCTGGAAATGCCCACCTAGTCAGCGGTCATGATAGAACATATACAATAATCACAATGGCAAACTTACCAGCGCTGACCCTCAACATAGGCTTCAATATCGTCCACGGCTTCGTGCGTTCTCTCCCGTCTGTCCTGTTGCTCTTCTATCATCTGGTCCTTAAGATCCAATCTTCTTGCCACCGGAATTCCGACATATCCAATGTCCTGAGGTTGGCCATGCCAGCGTGAACTTCTGCTTCTCATTTAAAACAATGTCCCCGTCCCGACCTGATAGCTGGCTTTACATACCTGTCCCCAATGGTGTTATCCTCACACAATGCGGAGCTATTTCTCTTAGGTTTCCCGAGCTTGGCTTCCATGGTCGTCACTTTTGTCTCTATCGCGCTGAGTCTCTTGTCCATTTCCTTGTTACTAGACACAACGTCATCGATGCATTTGAGTATTTGAATGCTGGTTTCAGTTGCCATATCGTAATTAGAGGGGCTGACTTTCCCCGCCAGGCTAATTCTCCCGATTTCCTTCTCGAGTCCGCTGGATTCATCCATCCTGTTCAATTATGGGAGCAGTCCTATCCCACAACTTGACACTAGGGCAAGCGTCTCAATTTATCAAAAAATTCTCCAGCTTGTAAAAAAGTGCTGCAAGGGATAGTGAGCGACTCACCGTCATTTCCAGCTTTGAGGGTTGATTGTTGCAAATGGTACAACATCATTGTATCAGAGGTCTAGAAATAGCGGTGAATAATTTACAGCTCCTCGCAATAAAAAGGAGTGAAATGGCCCATCTTGGACGGCATTATGCTTGCTATAGGACAGAGGGGGACATGTAAGTTCCAGGTCTGTAAAAGCCAAAACGTGAAACACGCATGCATAGAACCGTGAGCGACGTCATTGTTCTAGCCCCATCTGAACCTAGGAAACCAACGGCCGCCTCCAGAAACCATACTTATGATCCCAGTACCAAGAAGACTCCCAGGAACGAGTAACATTATTCCCAGATCCACTCCCGTCGATCCCAGATATGGTTCAGAAGGCCCTGGGACCTGTGCTGCTCTTCGAGGGCCGACAATGGGACGCTACGGAACTGCCTCTTTTGGATTACCCGAGCTGAATTGGGCTCTTCAAATGTTTTTACCCGTGGACGTTTTCGTCGTGTTTACTCTGCAAACATCGTTTCCTGTAAAGCTCCATTAAGGATAAACCTGCTTATATGTTACAACAATTAATGCCGATGAACCGCACTGGAGGCCATGCAGAATTGATTTTGATAAAATGAAACAGTAGATCTCAACGCCGACGAATCACCCAGCTAGCCGTGAAAAATCATCCTAAAATAGTATTGACCCAGTAGAGCAGGGGCTAACCCTCTCTACAGTGGATGCGACCGAATAGAAGGGGCAACTTATCAGCCAATCGTTTACCGCAGAGCCATTTAATCTCCAAGTTCTTGCGTTTTTAGCCATTTTGGGGCTCCTGCCATTTGCATCGCGGCGGCTTCCTCCTTGTTGGTTCGATCGGACCACTTCAAAATAAGTCCGAGGGGATAAGTAATATAAGGTCATGTGCACTAAACCCCATGCCTCTTGTCGGAGCTTTCCAGGACATGGTGGGATACTCGGCGTGGCCCTGCAAATTGTTGGTTTCATTCGCCGAGGCCAGGCAAAACCAGGTCGCTCTTTAAGCGGCACGTGTTCTAAGAAACTATTTTTATGTTGCAAACTCTTCTGAGAAGTATATTCACAAACGTTGAGCCCAAAGGGCGGCACTCTTGTTAGAAACTTCAATATAGGAACCTCCACCCTATTCCAGTTAATGAGGTTGCTAGACCGTAGGTACATATGCTGGGCATATGTTGATGTCAGTGACTGCCCACAATCCGGAATATATCGAACATCCTTTGGGACTACCGAAGGCGACTAGCAATGAAACGTTCCAATTTCGCCAGACAACCTTGTCCCTTCATTGAATGAGAGCAAAGACCGGCGTCTTCTGCATGTTGGTAAAGCGCCGAAAGCTTGGAAAAATCTTTGCTACAACTCGGACACGCGTAATTCCATCCTCCACCTTCAATATCGTCATCAATATACTTCCGGCTTTGGAAACAGTCGTGAGCAATATCATCGATTTCATCCTCGGTCACCTCCGACTCGCAGTTCCCGGATTCCAGGTGTATCACCATCACAGAGAATGTTTTGAATGTCTGGTAGCAGCCGTAGCATTCCATGTTTCGAGGATAGTGCTTTTGCTGGTGCTGTTGACTGGTCAGGTATCGGCTGCAAATGTCATTCATTGTTCCATTGGTATCAATGTTACTGTACCATTTGTAAATCGTTCTTATTTCGGAAAAAATCACCACACTTCGGGCACAGGCAATGCTTTTCAACATCATGCTCTTCAAGTTGCTTTTTTGAATCACAGTAGATGTCACAGCTCGGACAGTACTGATGACACTCGACTAGGTGATCTTCAAGATCATTGTCAGTCTCAAAGTCCAGTAACTGAGGACAGCTCGAACAGATATGATGGGCATTGGATTCTCGAATATGTGCATCCTTTGCAGAACCCGAAAAAAACACTCGGGAGCATCGTTCACACCACGCATGGCGACTCGTTTGTCTGCAATGATCGTAGAGAGCAGCTTCATTGCCAAAGTTCCTTTCACAAAGAGTGCATTCGTACTGCCCATGACTGTAATCGAGATACGCGCCAAGTTTCATGGTGTTTTATGGTGTTTTATTGAACAAGAACGGAGAACTTAGGTTGTGAGCGGGGTAGAGGTGTTTAATCGTATACTCAGGCCCTTGGACCGCTTCAGGTGACAGGCTTTCCCGCTCGCCAGACAATTCCGCTCGCGCCATACATGGAATAAAATGCCTCAAACGCCATAATGCCTGAATAGGAGCAGCCAATCGTAGCCGTTTTCTACGCGCCATCGTAGGGTCATCGTTAATAAGCTCGGGCCGAGCCATATCCGCTAGCTTTTCCTATTAATTCCACAGTTTTTATATGATATCTAGCTACTTTAGGGAGATTTAAAGAATTTGATCTTCTAGTAACTGACATATACAGTCACCCCGCAAAAGTTTCCGTAAAACCCTTCCCACCTCAATATATATATATGCAACCTACACATTTCAATTAATTTACATACCCCCAATTTAAAATGCATGCTTTTAAAAAATAGGAATTAAATGCATAAATGGCTAATTCATTAACCTGTATTTTTAATATCTAGTATACCACCCTTCAGCTGCAATTACAGCCTCACATCGACGATTCATGCTCTGGATCAAACCGGTCAAAGTAACCCTAGCCTAGCTCCTCCCATGCTTTATGAATTAATCCCTAAAAATGTGTAACTAACTGCTCTTTAGTCCCTTCAAATTTATCTAGGTCAGGATCGAGGCGATCGATTATTTCTTTTAGCTTCGCCCAGGCATGTTCAATAGGGTTCAAATCCGGCGAATACGGCGGCCAGTCAGTAGTAGGAATTGCATTCTCCCACAACCACGCTTTAATAATTTTAGCCGTATGAATTGGAGCATTATCATGCATAAAAATACGCTCCGAATTCATACAAAATTGAGGTAGGTTTTCTTCGAGCGTTTCGAGATATAACTGTGAAGAGAAGCCTTGTCGTGCGGAGAATGGATCGCGATTCATTTGATATAAATCAGAATAACCACCACCGAATATCGCTCCCTAAATCATGATTGAGATTCGTTTTGATTTCGAATAAGTGACCACGTATTCTTTTTTCCATTTTTCATTCCGGTGGTTTAGGTGGAAGACCCAACGTGCGCGCTTCCCTTTTCCAATTTCTACCGAACATTCGTCGGACTAAACCACCCGCTTCTAGTCTTCCCACGTCTAATTCCGGTGCTCTAAAGCCCAAGTAAGACGTAGAGCGGCAACTTCTAGTTTCAAAAAGGTCTTTTCCGTGCTTTCCAATGTCCGTAGCCCGAGGATTTTAACATTCGAAGGAGGGTATCATCGGATACGGTTAAACCACTTTATTCGCGTATCTCGGAGTAAAGAATAAAGGGATCACGCGTAATCAAACGTAGTATCAAGCTTATATTATCTTCCGATAGAATTGGGGGGCGACCGGTTCGAGGAAGGGTTTTTCCATCGGCTCGTAGGGATTGTTGATCGAGGGTAAATTGGATCGTTAAGGTAGATAAACCATGAAGCTTTGCAATTAAGGTAATTGAGCAGCCTATAGATGCCTAGCCGGTAATTTGACCCCTTAGGTTTAGAGAGAGTTCAGTCTTCCTCACCCTATTAGAATTAATAGGGCCTAGGGGTGTTCTTGGAACCATGGTTGATAGTTGAAAATGGTGGGTTTATTAAGACGCGATTTAAAAACGCGGGTGTGGGGCCAATTTTACGGAAACTTTTGCGGTAGAACTGTATATATTTCTGGAGCCCAGCGACGTAATTTACAATACGACAACAATGTAAGCTTTCGATTTCGTTAAAATTGCTCTATGTTACTGAAAATGCTTATCAATACCTATCTACCTATAGTGGGAATTAAATTAAGTTGTTGTGGTTGAAACATGAAGCTATAATTTGTCGCATTTACTATGTGTTTTGGAGATGGCGGCTCGCTTGTGGTGGCGGCTCGCATGTGAAATACGTTACCTAACTAGTTAACTAGTTCTTGTAGCATGTGTGCCCTGAAACGAACGTAGTGAGAGAAAGGGGTTATAGTAAACACGGCCGCGGGTGCGTCCGCAAAAAAGAGTTGCTTTTGCTCTGAAACGAGGAACGAGTGAAGGGGTTACTACCCTGCGCGAGCTGCCCGCAAAGTTTTGGTGCGTTCGTACTGCAAAAACCATGCCCGTTCTCGCCACTTGATTCGTCGATTTTCGCCGCCAAGAGATGTTCTTGTTCGCTCGTGGCTGTCGTGGCTAAGTTGTCTTATTGCTCATCTACTTCTCCATCCATCTTAGCTATTAGGGTTCTAGGGTTTCATTCTGGACTTCTCTCTACGTTTCCCTTCCAAGACTGGCTCGTCCTTGCTTGTATAACTCTCTTCTTGGCTTAACGCACTGCTATTGACTTCCAGGCTTGGCGTCGCTGATTCGCTGACTTGTGGAATCCTCGCTAGGCTTGGCCTTCGCTGGTCCACGAGGCTCTAGGGGTTCATCTGCACTAGTTCGCACATTTACCTTCCATTTTTGCCTCTCTTCTATTCTATAGCTCTCTTCTTACCATGACGCACTGCAACTTATTCTCACGCCTTGCTTCACTGACATGTGAGAGCACTCAGAGTGCTGTCGGAACATCGGCTGCAGTTACTTAGCTTTATAATTTTATTCGATTGTTTGGGCTACCATGATTCAAATAGATCCAATCGGCTTCGGCTGCTGTCTTCCGTAACTTTAAAGCACGCTATGACTGTGCAGCCACAACTCCTCGCACTCCCGCTAGGCCCGATATCGTCGACTATTACCTCACGAAAGAAAAAAATTACCCAGCTTGGCTCTTTTGTGAGATTTCATTTCCATGTTTCCTTCTGCTTCGTACTACTTTTGTTCAGTGTAAAGCGGCCCCTTGACGTAATATCTCGTCCATTAACGTTTCTCAGTCTGCTACCTGCACTTGACAATCTTCACTTATAATGACAAGGTTATCTAACTTCTCGTGTGTGGTACAGCTTCAGTATGCTAGTTCATCGATCTTGTCATGACTGTGGTCGCCGGGTTCGCCTATCTACAACCATCGAACCACCGCGGTGTCCTGCCTGTCGATTGGCCTCTTTGCCGCCTCTGGTCGAAACGCGTACCTGCTTGGGCTGCCGCATTCCGATTCCTGCACTTTCATACAATCTTCGCTGCGCGCTTTGCCAAACTCGGCCATCTTCCCAGCCTCTTCTTCTCGATGTTCGCCCTTGTTATGACTGTGGAACCCCTTTTCATGCTCGGACTGGCGTGATTCGTTGTTTCGATTGTCGGTCCAGAAGATCAACTGTTGTGCAAGCCCCCGTCGATTATGGCCACTTACGTACAACTACCTTTGACCCCTTCGTTAACTCGTTTCAGCGCCTTCACGACGCTGGAGAATCCGTACTAGAAAGGGGATCGCATTTGAGGCCTCTGGCACCAGTTCCGCAGCCACAGTTGACTCTCTCACAGTCATTCGATCTTCCAAACACTGACCATCATCCAGCCCCTCCCCCATTAGACCCGAGAACCGAGCCGAGAACGCAAAGATTTGTACTTCCTGCGGGTCCTCTGCCGGTACCTATCTTGCAACAGTCGCTGCTCTCACAACCAACCCTACTCGCCGTAGAGAAAAGACGGAATTCGACTTTATTGCGGCCCGCGGTCAAAAAGCAAAGAACGCTAGACTCGCGGACGTTCCAGGACAATTTGAATCGAGCGCTGTGTTTCCTGGGCGACGAGCTGGAGACTCGGGCCGTTGCCTCCGATGCATTTCCCCCGGAGATATCCAGCTCACATATACGAGCGTCCGTGGCCAGATACGAGGATTTTATTTCCGCAGCTGCCAAGAGAAGTGTCTGTTGCTCATGTGGGAAATTTGTACCCAACCCCAATGTCTACCAGGTAGATAATGAGGAACCTTTACTCCTGCCATTGAAGGGGCTTCTTGATACCTGTGGCCGACATAATAACATTTGGGATGTCTGTTCGTCGTGCCATACTTCACTCAATCGACATATGATTCCGAAGTTCTCGGCCAAGAATATGGTGAATGTGACTCTATGCCAGGACTATCCGTCCACTCTAGAAGGTCTCACTCTCACGGAGGAATGCCTTATTGCAAAGTGCCATCCTCTAGGTGTCGTTCTAAAACTTCGGCCGGGGGGCCACCCCTCGCCCGTCAATTATCACGCTCTCCGGGGGCATTTCATTGTTATTCCACAAGACCCGAGACCACTGCTCAACATCCTGCCGAGCCCGGAGTTAACGCTACATAGCCTGATCAAGGTGTTCTGGTTGGGTGCTCGACCTCCCAAAGATTCGGACCTTAGTCCCTTTCTTCTCGTTCGGAAGGCGAAAGTTCTGGCGGCTTTGCAATACCTTGTTCAATACAACCACCTCTACCGGGACCTCACCATTAACCAGCCCATGATCGATGACTGGAGCGATGACTTCATCCCGCCAGAGCTGCGAGATAGCATCATCTGTCTCGACGAGCCTGATCACCATGAGCGTGAAGGGTACACCGTGGACCTGCGGACGGGAAACTACGAGAACGATCTTCAGGCTGCCCAAGATAGTGCGTGTGATGTCCACATCGGCGAGCCTTTCATCACCGGCTCCGTCTCCACGGACATCAATGGAGAACGTCAAGACCCTAACCTTCGTGTACTGGACGCATTGTTCAGCGTAATCACGAACAGACTGCCGACATTGACCGAGGGCACATGTCATCGAAAAATGCCTGTTATCTCTTACAAAATCCATGGACAAGCCACCCTGGTGGACCACTGGTCAGATCCCCATTATTTTACCGCCGCTTTCCCAACCTTGTTCCCCGTCGGGATTGGGGGCCATCTGGACGAGCGAACTATCCCGGTGTCACTTGGGGCTTATGCCGAGTGGGCTTTGAGCCACCATAGTAGAAGGTGCCTCCACTCTGTCAATGAGGGTACGTCTATACTAATCCGCGTAGGTTCGCACGCCATAAAACCTTCATGTACTTGTTATATGATGTGATCCAGCTCCGAAAGTCGTCAATAGGCAACGCCTTCCTCATCAAATGCCAGAATTGGCAGTCGGCAACCAAGGACATCACATCTCTGACAGTGAGCCAACTCCAGAATGCAGCGAAGATGGTTGCAACGGGCCAGAAAATTGAGGATTCAATCATTCGACGACTGCTACGAAATATCGTGGCTATCGGCATGCAGGTCCCAGGATCCTTTGCTCAGAAACTCAGATTGCGCTCTGAAATTCGAGGGCTGATTACACGATACGGCATGCCCGCTTTTTGGATCACCATCAACCCCTCCGACCTACGGAACCCGCTCGTCCTGATCCTGGCCGGTGTAGAGTACTCTGGGAACAACTTGCCCGCAGCAAATGCCGCTATACGTGAAGCTGCTGCTACCTCTAACCCGGCAGCTGTCGCTGAGTTCTTCCATCACGTCTGCAAAGCCATCCTGGAAGGCCTTCTTGCTACCAATACGGGCCAAATCGGGATCCTTGGTGACCTCTCCAACCATTTTGCTGTTGTAGAGACAAATGGCCGAGGTATGCTACATCTCCATGGATTAGCGTGGGCGAGAGGTAACTTAACTTTCACTACATTGCGTGACCGGCTCCTCCAGGACACCAACTTTGCGGCTCGTATGCTTCACTACCTAGAGTCAATCATTATGCAAGGCATTGACGAAAGTATTCCACACGACCCTGAAGTGAACATTCCTGCACGCAACCCTCGGCCAAAGATTTCGAATCCGATGAAGACTTCCATCTTCGACTATCACATGACAGCAATTGTATCACTCGTAAAACGCAAGTCCATTCGAAACACCATCTCGCCACATGCTTCAAGTACCGGCAAACGGGACCCGGAAAGAATGCATGTCGATTTGGCATGCCCCGAGATCTGGTTCCCGTCTCTAAGATAGATGAGTTTGGACTGATCCACCTCGCTCGAAACCACGCCTGGATAAACCCATGGAATCCCGCCATTGCTAGTTGTGTCCGTTCTAATCACGACATCTCTTGGATTCCAACAGTCTCCAAATCTTTGTCACTGATCTATTACATCACCAACTACGCCACGAAAGATGACGTCTCTCCTTGGTAGATGGTGGCCAAGGCGGCTTTGTTGAAGCAATCCATTGAGAAGGCAAAAGTTGCTGAGCCACCAACAGCGATAGACCTGCGACTTCGAGAAAAGGGTGTCAAGAATTTTGCACTACGCTGCTTTAATGCTCTCTCTCATGACCGGGAGATCAGTGGTGTGCAGGTCGCCAGCGTCTTACTTCAACTACCAACCTATTACACGATCAACTACAACTTCATTCGCATCAACCTCTGGTGGCTAAGGCGCTATATCCGGACGATCATTCAGCCAGACGGCCTTCAAAGTAGTCACTCTTCTGACCCCATGGCAGAAGAACCTTGCGCGTACGAAACGGGCGACACCGCCGCCGTAAGCATCTTTGACAATTATAAATGGCGTGGACCACACCTGGCTCCTCTTGCGTTATTTGAATACTGCATGCTTGTCAAGACAAAGGATGTACGCGATGCCATTGCTGACGACGTGGACTTCGACCCAAACCACCCGAGATATGCCACGCATGTACAGCGCCTGGCGCGCACCCCATCACAAGTGGCCACCGTGACTTTCAACGGACAACTAACCGAATTCCAGCCCGCAGAAGACGCGGTTCCAGGAGGTCATCCAAAAACAACCGCGATCATGAACGACGTAGCGGAGATATTATTGGGGCTCTTTGTTCCCTGGGATCAATTGATTAACCTCTTCCGACCGTCTACGAAAAGAACGGACACTTGCGTTCAAATATGGGCGGCTGTGGAACCAACCCTCACATTTCACAACCGAGGCTTTGCAAGAAATATCGAGTTACTGCGAAAGTCCAAGGAAGACTGTCAAGCCGATGCAAAAATGTGGAAGTCTGCAAACGGCACTGCCGACTCATTTCACCATGATGCTGAAGACTTTGAGCCCGCCAATTTTGGTTCTGATGACGAAGAGACCGAAGAATTCTTCCACCTGCAGGATGAGAATTTCAATGCGGAGACGTTGATCGCTGCATACTACTCCATTAGCAAAGCATGGCATCGAGAGACGTTGGTCACGGGCCGGCGGATCCCTGCCTTGCTCCACAAGATAGACCGAACGCGCAGCTTGTCACTACAGAACCTCCAGCCGCTAGACATCTTCAACCCTCCAGCATACGAATCTTCTGGGCTAAGGTTCCTCCCACCATCTACTTTACAAGCATGGGAGTTTCAACTAAAATGTTGCGTCAATATTAGTCCTGAAGAGAGCACGGATGGTGATGCTGGGACTTTTTGATTTGCACTTGACGACTTTGACATCCAGGTTGAAGATGGCATCCTGATCCTACGCTAGCTAACTCAGACACTATCCCTGCTACGGATGATCTCCAATCCCGAGTTGGCCAGAATCCTACTGGCGCCTCTCTTGCGTCCCTGATCAACGAGGAGATTCCCCTAAATCGGAAACAACGAATGGTAGTAGAGAGGGTGCTCTCTGAAGCTTTGACCTGGGCTGATCACCCTTATAATTCGTCGCAGCGCAAGCAGACTCTCCTCTATGTTGGAGGTGAAGGTGGCACAGGTAAGAGCCAGATTTTCAAGGCAATTGTCGCTGGTATGAACCTTGTCGGACGAAAGGACGAAGTGATCCTCATGGCACCGACGGGTGCCGCGGCCGATAACATCGGCGGAAATACGTACCATACATCTTTAGGGATATCCATTGACCGTTCACGTAAAACCGGTATGAAATCCAGAGTGAGACGGCTCTGGTCTCGCAAGACTATCATGATCGTGGACGAATTCAGCATGATGGATCTACGTATGATCAGCGTAATTGATAATCAATGCAAGATCGCCAAAGCCCTCGACAGATCCTCCCCTGACCTTTTCGGTGGCCTTCCTGTCGTCATCTTTATCGGTGACTTTTTCCAGTTTCCGCCTGTTCTGGGCCCAGCACTGTGGAGGGAACCAAGAAGGGGCATAGATGAGGAAGATAATGGTCGGTTACTCTGGCATCAATTCAAAGAGGTAATCATCTTGGATGAGCGAATGAGACAGGCGGAAGAAGACGCTCCATTCCGCGATCTGCTATCACGAGCCAGGACAGGCACTTTAACGGAAGCCGATCGATCGTTTCTTAACAGCAAAACAGTCACATCCCTGGTCAGCCCTCAACTAGAAAATGCTACCACCGTCCTGCGTTATATTTAAACCGAACAGGTCAAAGGCCACCGGATTTCAAGACCTTGAGCCTTCAGCCATGCCAGTCTTCCCTTTAGAACGATCTATTACCCTGAAAGGCTACTCGGTACGAAGGAAGCAAGTTCCCATGTGCCCGGCTTTCTGCCTTACCGACTACAAAGTGCAAGGCTCGACACTCGCAGCTGCGATCCTTGACCTCAAAGATGACCCCACTATCCGAGGACAAGATCGTCACCGGAAATATTGCTCGACCTATTTGCAGCTATCTCGACTTCGGTCCTCCAAAGGCCTTCATCTCCTTCAGAATCTCGACATGCAAGACCTTCGATTCGGTCCTGATCCTCAACTGCTAACTGAAATGGAAAGACTCCAGAAACTCGAACTAGAGACGATTGCTGCATAGCATGGGGCTTCAAACATATAGGTCGTGATCGTATTAGAATAGTGCAATGACGTACGTCCTTCTTACAAGTTAGTGTCTTTCTTGCTTCAGATGAGACAGACCATGAAATACTCGTAAAACCCCTGCTCTGAGTGGCCGTTCTTCAATTCACTCTGACTTTATGGGCATATTTCCGCATGCATTATCAACCAATCATACTCTGATCCGCGCTGTACTACCCGACTTCGTATGCATATAATTGGCTTATCTTTAGGAAGATTTTAACTTCCTGCCCCTGAATCAAAACCAAGAGTTTCCGCCTTCATGTTATCACTCACCCTTGTCATCAATTTTTCGGTCGGTTCGTTTCAGGGCCACAGCGTGCGCAGCGCGCGTCACCAGTTGAAATGCACTCTTTTGCTAAAAGAACTGGCTGGTAATATAATACTAAGTACCACTTTCATTTCTAATAAAACAGCACAACCGTATAGACTATCATTAGAAGTTATCTTCTTTGCCAAAGCCAGGCGGTAGTCTCCTTAAGATAAATGGCAAAATTTTGATACCCATTCTCAAGTAACTTGTGCATGAGAGCTCGCAGGTAACTAAAAGATTCTATGGGGAAAAGTGGCTCATCTGTAGCAAGTTGAAATATCTGTATTTGGGTGCTAAATGTAATATGCATCAAAGGATATATAGGATACTCACCAGGCACCCTATGGCCCATATGGCAACCTTCTGAACCCGCAAGTCTGGTTCGATGAATTCCGAGATCCTCAAAGCCATTGGCATAACCGGAAGAAGATCATCATTTGTATTTCACATTACTATTATGACGGTTAGTAGTCTACGTCTCTGCATTTACAACCGGGTACCACGCTTCCGCCTATATCGCCAATATTCGCCTGTAAGCCTCGTGTAGCCTGCATCGTCTGGTAATCCTCGGGGCCGCTGTGAAGCGAAGAGAGCCTGCGGGGCTCTACTATCCGCTACCACTCCAGGAAGACACTGACTGGACTTGGCTTCGTTCAGGGTCCAATACCTTTATATTTGATAAATCGGTCACGGTAAATACATCACCTACCATATGTTGGATGACGGGCATAAGCACCTACATGAGCGTCTGCGTGATTCAAGCTTCACAAATGATTCACTTTGCCGTTTCCTGCTTGAAATCGTCAAAATGTTCGGTCGGACGTTCATTCTGATAGACGGCTTGGGTGTAGCCACAAGCACTAAAGTGTCAAAGGTCATCGAACAAATGCGTGAATCTTGCCCATCTCTTCATCTTTTGGTCACAAGTCGTGATGTTCCCGAGGTGTATGAATACTTCAACGCCGAACAGAATGAAACCGTCGCTATGAGCAATCAAGAAGGGGTTCAATGCGACATTTCTAGCTGGGTTACCCAAGAACTTGACAGTCACGTTACGTTATGGCGTTACAAAGATAAACATGGCGAAATTAGTTCTGCCATAACCGAACGTGCGCAACATTGGTAAGTGTTTCTCGAAAACTTCTCTTACAAAGTATTAATCGATATGATTCCTAGCTTCCGCTATGCGGCGTACTTGTTTCGTCATATTGGAACAGCCGTTAATGAGAGCCACTTGAACTCTATACTATCAACCATGTCCAAATTGCCTTGTTCTTTGGATGCTGCACGCAAGGGCGATCCTGAGTGGTTCGAAGAAATGGCGAAGAGCTTGGGTACTTAGAACCTTCACCTTTAGCATAATCTGGGATTCATCTTCCCTACATGCATGTACGGTTAGAATACAAGTGTCGCCCAACTAAGATTCTCGGCTGAGTTGAATCTTCGCAATGTATGTCAACTTTGTTCATGTTTTATTGGTGTAGATAATATGGAGTGAACTTAAGAGTTTAGATCCAAGGCTAGCGCCCGCCTAGGCTGCGGCATGCCTTGCAAAGTTGGATATCAATTGCATATTCCAGCGTCCAAGTCCAATCTGCCATTATTTCTCAATATTCAACCGACATCTAGCTAGACCGGGCATCCTATGTTGTTGGCCTCTTCTTTGCGATCGGATGGATATCCGAGCTAAACTCGGGTCGGAGTATAGGTTGATGAATAGTTGAAAGTGACTGTTTGGCAGCTGGCAGCCGGGACCAAATGGCTGTCTCGGCTTGACAAACTTCGGCGGCAACCTAGATGACTGGCCAGGCGAACGCTGCATCTTGATGCATGCATCTACCTTGGCTAATTGTGCTGCCAAAGAGGGGCCCACTTCGAAATGACATGCCGAGGGTTTGCGACTCTACTCTCGTCTTCCTAATGTCTTTGCTGACAACGCGAAGGTTCTTGCCTTCAAGCTCAGTGGCCTGACTGCGGCCGCCAATGCGTATGATTTTCTGGATACCAACATCAAGAAGATGCTTTAAGAATTGGTCCAAGGCATGGTTGGTATAGCAACTGTAATTTCCGTAAGTAAAAATACAAAAGACCATGAGATCAGTGCTCACATCACAATAATCGGGCCTAGCTTTGCCTTTTCCTTGATTTCAAGGAGAGCTTGAACAAGCTTAACACCCAAATAGGACTTTTCGGTGCCCGGCGGGCCTTGGATGAGGGCATATTCTCGAGCGAGAGCAGCGATAAGTCCGTGACACTGGCCGTGGTCGAGACCAGTTCGACTTTGCAGCTTCAAGATGTCAATAGACTCAGGGGTACTCAGGTCCAATGCAACATTAGCAGCTCCGACGTTTGTGATCGAAGTCAGGGGAAAGATAAATCCTGGTTTGCGTGCGTATGTCGGTGGGGGTATGCTGTGACCGTCTTCATCATCCTTACGGCCTGGCAAGACCCACTTTTGGAATTCCAACTCCCCTTCGCGTTGGATTCGCTGAAGGTTTTTCAGGATAGGGACGAACGTGGCAGGGATCAAACCGTGGGAAGTCGACCAGAATACCGGTGAGCTTCTCGCTGTAAAGCTGGCCCAGGAAAATCAGTTCTTGTTGTAGGCATGCCGCAAGCTTGACCGTAATACTAGGTGGAAACCTATCAGAAGCAATACTACTTTTGTTCTGGTGCACTCGGTCCTTGGAATCATTTTTCACAGTGACCTCGAGGAAAATAAGTCTTCTGAGCGTTCCTTGAGACGTCAAGAAGCACACTAGGCTTCCTTCTTCTGGTCGACTGGAGGCTTTGCCACCATCTGCATTGCTCGTTGAAGGTCTTTTTGCGGAGTGGTGGTGGAGTAGAAAACGATACGGTCGCTTGGAGCTCGTTTCGCTCATTGATAAACATTTGCTGGGCCTGTGCTCCCAGATAGAGATGTGCCCCGCTATCCTTGCCTGAGAGATAAGGAACTCGTGTCAAATCCTTCTGCTGCAGCAAATCTCGAAGAACATCTTTGGCTGAGCCGAAGATATCATGGCGCAGGAGCCGGAATGTTGAGTCAATGTATCTTTGCAAAGGGTCGGCGAGAAATTGCGGCTGAAGGAAGTTGGTAGATGGTAGATATTCCGAATTGCCGCTGACAATCTCTCCATGGGTAGGAAGAATCTGAACTTGAGAGATTTCTGCAAGGTCATTGTCGTGTCTTCCTCCGGGTATTTGCATATCCATTGGAAAGGACGACATGACTGACCCAGTCTTCTTGGGATTTTCCTGATGCGCTTTGGGTGTAACAAGATTGTGATTTGCGCTAGTGATCAGGTTCTGCATGACTTGTATTCTGGTTTCAAGTCCGTCAAGATCGGCTTTCGAGCATGTTTCAGTCATCTTGGAGCCCAGTTCGCGGATTAGGTCGAGCAGTGCGGGAAGTTCATCGTGAAATCGAGCGCGTCGGACCCTTGATAAAAGCTGGTAAAGGGTATTCAACAGCAACTTTACCATATCCAAAGAGATGACCGGTGCATTTGCAAGTATGTCTTTGTGGGTTTACCTCAGTCGTAGCATACATGATATAGGAAGGTCCGGCACGGTTAGAAAGAGCTAGTAGTTTACATCCTACAATTGGCTTAGCGGAGCAAATAATGAGGTTTATATTTCAGGTAAGCACACGTTGTAATGCGAGTGGCTGCTGTGCACTAGTTGATATACTTATGCAGCCCGCATGGAACAGAAGCCGTTAGAAACCCCGGTTCTGCTTCGAGAAAACTCTGGCCAATATATAAACGGCGCGCAGTCTTTCACATACTGACTAGAGCGGATGATCCAAGACATACATTCAGACATCCTGGATGCCCCGTTTAAAAGTCTCAGTTTGATTGGGTGTGCAAGTACAATGGATAATCTGTGACGCTGTACGCGACGCAAAGCCCCTTCTATTATCATACTTCTGGAATAGTCTGTATCACAATCTTCTAGTCACAAGAGAGAATTTTCTCAACGGAACCATTCCCCAGACAATCTTCAAGACACACACTAAATAAAGTATGCGTATTCTAGGGTCCAAGTCAGACCGTCGAGTTTCCGTACTTCATGTGACCGGACCCGAGTTTCCCGATGGCGTCATCACCGTTAGCATCGTGCTCGACGAAGCGAGATTGAAAGCCTACTTCCACCAAGCTACCGGCCATCGGGCAGAATGCGCCAACATGGCCGGTAATATCATGTTGAGAGGTTAGGAGAAGAAGGTGCAACAGACCTGGGTTTCTTGGAATCCTCCGTCGCTGGAGGTCTCACGCGTCAAATGGTCTCCCTTGAGCCACCTGACAAACAAAGGAAGACAGCCAAGTATTCTGTCCACGCTAGTACCTTAAAGAATTATCCACTGAGTGGAATTCAATTACCGAGTAGCCCGCTGAATACACCGAATTGTTTCGTGGTGTGATGTAGATACTGGACAAGTTGCTCGGCGACTTGAGGTAAGGGGGTGGGAAAATAAATCATAAAGCGGTGTAATGCATCTCAAAATCCTGCCAGTGTCCTATGCAGCCGACAATTCTTTGGCGAATGAGATGGTCTGACCTTTGCCTAGTTCAAGAGATACGGAAACCTCAAGCCCAATAGATGTTCGATCGAACCGGCTTCTGTCAAGATTGGGGTGCTCAACGGAAATCGGTGTTCGCCTATTTTAATCGTAAGCTTTGGAGTCATTAGGTTACAGTAACTGCGAAGGTGCATTGAGCGATGTCAAGTGATAGTCTTACGCATTTGTTGGTCGCTGTTGGTAGGCAAAGTACATTAGCATGAATGACTCTCAGCCTGAGCGCGAAATGATTGGAAATTGGGATTTTCCATTATATTGAAACTGGGTTGAAACTGGGGATTGAGCGCATACGATATCCCATAACTTTGTCCAATCAAAATCTGCGTGGTTGTCTCTAGGTGAGCTGAGTAACGATAAGCAGCGAATCAAATTCAACAACAATGGAGCTGAAATGGCGGTGAGAGACGCAGGAGGACCTACTATGAACGAAAGCTCAAAAGCCTCTATTCTATAGTACTGTAACCTTGTGGATGAACGTTCGCAACGGACACGGGCAGGGCAATTGGATGATAAAAAAACGGCTGTGGTCACTGGTGTCGGATGAATTCAGGAAGAGACGCCTAGTTTACAGGTCCGCTCGGAATCAGTTTCACCGCTTTATTTTTTCTCTTTGGTTCCTCTTAAATCTTGGCTAGATCCACTTCAGCCTACATCGGGCCTAGATCATCTCGCTCTGCCGAATAGGAAAACCGTTGTGAGCAAGTGTCTGTCACCGACTAAGTACATTAGGCCTGGCGCTACTAAAAGTAGACTTCGAGAAACTATCAAAGAGAACAAAGTGGTGAAACTGATTTCGATCCACCCTGTAGCGAGGAAAGGAAAAGAAGTTCTGGAGACTATACAAGGGTACGCGGCGAAAGAACAGTTCCTTTGGTCTACTTGCATTTTGAGGGCAGAATGCCAGCGAGGTTTGGAAGGGCCGATAAGTGGGGCGGCCCTTGACCCAAAACCCGCCAAGAAATTTGAATACACGTAATATATACCATATTACATATCTCTATATGAGTTACTGTCTGTATTACGTCTGTTATTCAGTAATATACAGGCTCATGGGTTCTTGGCAGGCTCGCGGGTACCCCATGGGGTACCCGAAAAAGCAATATGGCGAGGTCTAGTCATAGTCGTGCCCTGCTGCCTGAAAGAGCAGCCAAAGCTTCACCGCCTAAAAGTATCTATTCCGAAGAGGAGATTTTGCAGTCTCGAGCTGAGTCTTGGCGAGACTGGAGACCTTCCCAATAGAGCAGGTAATGCAGGTAGAGCATGGATTGTGTGGTAACACGTAAGTACACGCGAGGAGCATGTGTAGTGCTGGTGGACTGGCGCACCTCCCTTCAATATAAATAAGTACCGGTAGGAGTTCTTCCTAGCTCAGTAAGTTGGCGAGAGGTACTCTTCGCAGATACGAGGCAGAATCTACAATCCGCTTTGATCGACGTCACTGTCATAAGCGAATTCATAAGCGACGCCCTATCCCCGAGAACATGAAGGCAGTTTTGGAATATTGGGTGCCCAAGATTCGGGAGTTTGAGAGGGAGGACGAGATGATTGTCCGCAACGCTTTTGAGTTCAACGGTATGGGAGTACCTATCCAGAGCGTTCTTGTCACTGGAGAGCGGGTGCCAGCGGGTGAGGCCGGTGATGCTCTATATCACTACAAGTTCCTTTGGATCATTGAACCCATGGTGACCCCGACGCTCGGAGTTACTGGCAGTTACCCTTGTGCCCTGCGGCCGACAATGAGTGGTCTATCTCGGCTTCGTAAAGCCGAGATTGTTTATTACGATGAGGATGTCCAAGACATGAAGCGGGCCATGCATGCGGAGTTCGAACAGAATTCGAACGTCAAGTTCATCAAAGAGTTTTTTTACTGCAAGGATTGTCCGTCCAGACTAGACGATCGGGTCCGACGAAAATTGGAAGACGGTACGGTCGATCCGCGGAAAAACTGGCACAGGGTCAGGCCCCAGTTTGGTGCGACTGAACATTTTCTATGAGTAAGTTGTTCATGCTGTAAGGTGAGTTCGTCTGAGCGAGCAAATTCTCAGGTGGTTAACATCCATGTCGGATAGGCTATAGTTCCAAGTTGAGAGCTGAGACTCAACCGAAATTTCCCATCTAGTTTTCAGGTGGGAGAAGATAAGAGCGTCGAAATTATTAGAAGTCTTTTTGTTCGATGCGTTACGCATAGAATGTAACGGCGCCGTACCGTATCAAACGCGTCTAATTTTAGAGTCCTGAATAAAACATAACGTCAACTGGCTGTTTCTCGTAGCAGCAGCATTTCTCTAACTGATACCAGAGTCTGTGTTTTATTGATGTCCTATGAGGTTGTAACACGTCGTCCGCAGCCAACACCTTTGTGCCCGATCCTGGCAAAGCTATGACAGAACCTATTCCCGAGGCCGACCGGGTCGCCAAAGACGTCTCAGAGTGGTCTCAAAGCATTTTGCGGCATTGGACTCAGTTGAATTGGTTCATAAGATACCATGAGCAGACAATTAGAAGTCGTTGGTGTAAGAGAACACACAAGCGGCGCAAGCTTCTGCTCTTGAAGGTTTGGCCCAATATGCCTCTTTCTCGCCGACCGGACATCTCGGCGGACCGTCAACGTCAAAGTTCTCGTGGAGTTCTATGCGAGAGAGCGGCATTTCTGTGGCAACCTATCAACCTGGAGGCATTAGTCGCTGAGACGCCGCTTCTGGTTTTCCTCAATGCTCGTGGCCGCCATCCACCTCATTCCTTCATCGCTGCCGATTGCGCCTGGGCGGGATTTGGGGTTAAAACAGGGAATATCCATAAAGTTACCCTCGATGATTATGATCTTGTCTTTGCGAATGGGACTGAAAATGGATACGGAAAACTCTGTGAGCGTAATGCGGAGCGTTTTGCGACTACCCAGCTCCAAATGAGCCCTGGCGACGGGCTTCTTGGTCTAGAGATACAAGAGCGCCTGTACAGATTCTTAGTCGATTGCGCAACCTCGTTACTCTATCCCATGGGGGAGGGGGGAGTCACCGTGACTCGGATTAGGGCTTTGCATTTTTATATGGGAGAAAAAAGGTGGGTCCACGGCCACTCGCTTTAATTTTCAGACCCCCACTCGTTTTTGTAGTTGGCGTCGGATCATGCTCAGATTATCAGGAGTTATATTCCTCGTAGTGAATTTTGTATAGTCCCAATTAATAGTTAATTCGACTTGTATTAGTGGAGGTTTATACGATTAGAAATCGGGAGTTTTTTTGGTGAGGGCGCAGATGTGGATATGCGACCGCAGTCAAACCACCCATAACATCAACATTGGGGTTAACAAGTTGATCAGTCCAAAGTTCAATTAGACGAATACGGGGCTAAGATGAGATTCAGGGGTAATTAGAAGTCCCAGCTGTCGTCCAGTTTAATTTTGGAAAAATCCCACCACTTCACATGTCCCAATTGATAGTTATATGTTTTGAGGCATTCATTGTATCCAACGATATATATCCATACAACATGGAGAACCAAATTTTCACCAAACCCCGGGAATTACCCATTATTACATGGAAACAATGCCATATTGGAGTTAGACCAAGCCAAATTAGCAGTCATGACCAAGGAGCCCAACACCGGCTTGGGCTGCCCACCGGCAGGCAATTACAGCATGCCATCCAACAGTCCAGCAGCCGTCCCAGATCCACGCGAAGCTTGATAAGATGGAAGAGTTGTTACCAGCAGCACATCAGGCAGCCTAGCCCATTGGAGAGGGGCGAGTCAGCGAGTCACCGTGACTCGCATTAGGTTTTTGAAGTTAAGTGTGGGAGAAAAAAGGATTTAGGATTCATATGGTCCATTTCTCTAGGCTCATGATAATGAAGGATAGCACATATTATGCCCATTGCTGATGGTTCATCTTCGTGCAAATTGAGTTTTGGAAAGGAAGAGCTCGCCACCTTGGCACCTTCGGAAAAATCGGGACTTAATAACTTTGCAAATACCGGCGATGCAAGATCGAGTACCTTCGATAATACAAGAAACTGTCTTCTAGAAACTGGAGACTGGCCCTCCGTTACAATGATCACATTTCCATCTTGATGGACGTTCGATGTCGGGACACTGGACTTGAACATATTTTGTGGCAAATTCTTTGTCCGACATTTTGACACGCCTTCTGGATGTCTCATGGTTAGTTCAAAGAATCTGGCGATTCCTAGGAATACCACTGCACTAACCACTCTATAAATCTCATTTTTAACCTTAGTCTGACCGATCAAAAAAGTGTTTAATAGCCTACAAATAGAGATATAATCTAGTTATCTGTTGGGGTCAAGCCCAATACTTGATGAATGGATTTTCGGACCTAATCATTATCTTAGAGCGTCGACTGGACAGGCGAAATCACAAATCCAATTGCAGCTCCGAGGAATTTGTGAAAGGCTCCTAGAGGCTCTTGGCCGTGGACGAACTCATTCGCTTCGCTAGTAAAGGCACTTGAAGCATATTTGACGTTACGGTGCTAAACGCATTCCCCTTTCAGCCCGACAAATCGGCGACGGGCCGAGAAAGACAAGGTCACGAAGCGCTCGCTCGGATTTTACGAGCGAAGAAACCATAAGTGATCTTGAGATGCCACCGTGAAGAGTATTCGGACGAATGGCTCAAGCGCATCGGGCTGCCAGGACAGGATTACCGAGGAGCATACAGCGGTAGTTTTGCAATCGTTCCATCCATAGTATGCCATGAACAATGCCGACTGCAGACCGGAATACCGGGCATTATTGATGTACCACTTCGTGGCCGTCTTTTCAGAACTGAAGTCTCAGTTGAGTCTTCTAGACGCTGCAAAGAGCATCAGAAAGCTTTGCCTAAGAAAGGTGAACGAACGAGGTATAACATCTCTAAATACAAGCCATGGGAAGCGGCGTTCCATATATGTCGAGCACTGAATAGGACGGCCCTTGCAAGGTGCCACCAAACCCCATGGTCGATCAGACCCAGGTTGAACTTCGCAGCACACAACTGGAGGTATTCGCTGCTATGTAAAAATCGCTGGGCCAACCTTTTCCCGGGAGCTCGAACAACTTTGGATGCCTTAAAATTGCCAAAATTGGTTTATTTTTCTAGAAACAGCATTTCCCGGACGACCTTCTATACGAGCAAGTGATGTCGTCGATCACATTACAAGGCAATGAGCAAAAGGATTGGTTTCCGTGTGAACCACAATGGGCTTCCCATTTACGCTCGCTAAAAGACCACTGTCGGGTCTTCAGATATCGAAACGACCCGTTATATGCGACACCCACATAATTCCTTACGAAGCAAGTCTCTTAGCTGTCCAGGCATCCGAAACACTCAAAAGTGCGGAGAAACTTGGGGAAGGCCTTCTTGCTGGAATCATTGACATTTTTGAGAGATACAATGCTCTGGTTTGCAAGTACTTGAGCGAGAGCTCGATGAGTGAAACAAAAGATGCAATACCCATCACAGCTCAATGGGATGTTTAGGACTACTGTTTACGTCACCAAAAGAAGGACAGGCTTGGAAAGCAGCCATTGACACAAATGGTAACTCAGCCACACTGATGTGTGCCTTGGGTTTTTGAGAAGCACGGGTTCCGCATGTTTCCAAGAACCACCCTATCCCGAACACCCGGACCACAGGCCGTGTCATAGCGGAGAAGAACTTGGAGGACACTTCGAAGTTGAACCGATAGCGTAACGAAGTGCAGATTAAGATCCTTCTGACCGCGAACGCCTTATCTCTGAGGATGGTGCGATAGGCTGTAGGGAAAATCTGATGGACCGAGACTAGTCATCTGAAGACCGACTTCTATGGAAGCTGTTGCTGATCCTTGGAAGTCGAGTGGGAAAAGCAACTGACCATTGACAATTTTGCCAATATGTGTCCATTCAATCCGCTGGCAATCTTTTCTAATCTGCGATATTAGGATCTCAAGAAATTTGAGCGCACTCTGACTGAAGCCATTCTTCGTCCCCCGAAAACCTCGCTTGATGAATCCATCCGCGGAATTTTTGCTTTGTTGGGTTGCGAGGAGACTTCAGAGAATGGCCAATGAACTTAGGAACGTCTTTAAATCAACAGGCTGAACCCCTTTATACAAACAGTATAACCTTAAACTTCCACAGAATAGGGCTTTTGCATGATGTCCTCAATCGCATTTTGCACGAACAGAAGATTGAAACACACATACAATGTGAGGGGCGCTTATAATCCCATCTTAGCCTCTGTTATAGGTGGAATTCATCACTCTGATAGAAGGGGCTAAACAAACCACCTATTGGAGACTTCTATAACTCACCGCTATTGTATCGACCACTGTCGATCTATGCCAAAAAGTGTTCCTCTACACAGGTTTTATTGTGTGTAGATTAAGCTTCAAAGCAATGTTCATATGGCATTAGAAGCGTTCCATTAGGCTTATACCGGTATGTCTTTCAATTATAATCAGCCCATCATGGCCCGCCTAAAATAGTGGAGTCACGACCGTTGAAGTAAAAAGAATTCCAATTATTGATTCCCGGTTTGATAGAAATAGGAGCGAGACACAGCATGGGTACTGCACATATTGCCACACACTCCTGGATTTTCCACCGCAAGATATGACACGATGGGAATCTCTTACATGATAAGCTTCTTGCATCATGGCCTCCTGCATCATGGCCTCCATTTAAAAACAAATGAATCTCCACTTTTTACTAATCGAGCAGTCAACCGCAACCACACCATAACAGTATTATATCATGATGGTTGACGATCAAGTGTGTATAAGCAACCATAATGTGGCAACCTAAATGGGTCGGTAGAGAAATGGCGAATCAATATGGGGCGAAAGTCAAGACGCAGGCTAACAGGGCTGCTGCTTGCATAAGACATAGGGTTGGAAGTTGAACGATAGGCCTGAAGAAAAAGCATGGTATAGTTAGTCAAAAGTGACAGTCTAGTTACACGATATATATGCTACAATGAGAGTATACTAGTATTGAACAAAGATGATCGTTGCTAATATTCAAAGAATTTGATCTTTCAAAAGTTTTCGAAACTCCCTCAGCGATAATAAATATTGCTCTGTCTGCCTCTCCTCCTGCCAAACCCGCAGTCCTGTTCTTTTCTCCAAATAGCCCGGCCATTCCTTCGGAAAATACCCTCTAATTTCCAGTTTTTGTAAATTTGAAAATTTTCCAAGCGTTCGCGCAAAATCAGCATCCACAGCTGGACTCCAGTGGTTGACAGTCGGTTCTGAATCAAGGTATAACACCATTTCCTCGAGACATTCTGCTTCTGTGAACAGTTTTCCAAGAAGCTCGCGCCATCGCGGGCCATTGGGAGGATTGTTTTTATGAAATCTTTGTACGGTCCCGGATTATATACAGCATGAACGGAGATCCAAATCTTGCGTAGGCTTCGAACATTTGATGGCTTAATCATGTTAAGCCATTTTATACCAGTATCGGGGTTCTAGATTTGGAACATGTTTTCGATGTAGAATTCCGGCGGATTTTTGGGCAAGGTAGTTTGAGGATCGGTAATGTGAATTGTTGATTGAGACATGACGATTATATGTAATCGAATGAAGTGATGTTATGTCAGTGTAATAAGTGACGTGTAGGAAGTTTGGATTTTCTTCAAAAGCATTCTCGTACAAAGATGATTTCTCGAACGCTTGACCACTACGAATGCTGGAAGAGCTCCTCTATATATACTGAAAATACGTCTGCCCAACCTGACATTTCCAGTGATGAATAACATGCATACTGTGGCTTTTGCTTGTACACTTTGCGTTGCAAGCCATACATGCGGGCTCGTATGCAAGTGTCCCAAAATGTTCTCCATATTCCATTTCCAAATCTTCTTGAAATCTTCTTGTGTTCTTGGTAGACGCATAATATTCAGTGAGGGCTTTCTGACCCTTGGGTAATGATTTGGCGCATGATCCAGTCTGCCTCCCGCATGGTTTAGTTTGCCTCCGCATGATGTTTACTGGCCCTTTTAGAGTTTCCATCTTGGACTTTGAGTCATGCGTTGGCCGAGTAAATATACCCCTCCCATGTCAAGAATCAAATATGCATCTGTGGAATCCTAAGTGCTATTCATCGGTGGAAAGGCTACGAATGAGATGTCTGCAGGGGTGCGGCGCCACCTGTCGAGCTGGGAACCACAAGGAGATGAATTGTTTCAAATTTGGAAAGGTGAAAGATGATTGGTTCAGTTAACAGGTCAAGAACAGTATTTGGGCTTCCATCGTCCTCATCTTGGCCAGAGAATGTGGTGTCCATGGCTAATAATAGGAACAGATAAGATGACAACGCATCGTAAGGTTAGATGGCTTTATACTGAAGGAAGACACGTGTACTGGCTTCTTGGCTGATTCATTCCTGCACAGACTGTTTGCATGACTTCGACAACTCATTCTTCTTTTTGGGGAAGCACACACGAGCCTTGAAAAATCTGCCGGTCAACTGCCTAGAGCCCAACAATGACTCTTCGAGAGTGACCAATGGAGTTACGCAGTTGGAAAAACCCATAGTCTAGACAAGCACTACGAATTTCGTCTTCTAGTTTTCATTTAGCTGCTTTATCCTGCCCGTAGAAGGCTAGTCAAGTTCAGCGGACTACTGACGCTGTTCCAGGAAGCTTACCAGCAAAATCGATGACTGTAGTAGAATTAGAAGACGGCTCAAAGAATTCAGTAACGTAAGGGAGGACAGGTAAATACAGAATGTCACAAAAAAAAGAGTAAGGGATGGAGGATCTGTAATGAAATCTTGCTTGGCTTCCCAAAAAGGACCAACCTTTTCCTCGATGCTTATGCCTCAAGTACGCCAGTCCTGCGGAACCGTAGCTTAGTCCAAAAGGGTTACCGGTATTTCTAGAAACTTGTGAAGAGTAGAAAAGAAACTCGATATCCTTTTCCCAAAGCTGCAGCAATAGCGTCAAGAGCCTCTTTTTTTTATAGAAGAGAGTGTTTTCTTCTATCCAGGAGAACTTTTCGACGAAGGAGAGCGAAAGCTTGATGGAGTTTTCTTTCCGCGTTACCACGTCCATTCCATAGGGAAATGATGGCTTGATCGAGTTTTTCTTCAACAAGCGACTCTTCTCCCAAAGATTCATCGATGGCTCTATCGAGTTCAGGTTTCGTAAGGCTATACTTCGATTTCGCAATAGCCCGCTCCAGGAGGCCCTTTAAAAGATATGGTTGTTGGTTCAATGAATACATATATCCAAGGAACACAATGCCTTCCAGTAGACATCTCTGTTCGGTAGATCCTACCTCTTCCTGCCACGTTCCTTCCTTTATTTTCAGAAATTCATCAAAACCCCCAAGCGTAACGAAAATCCCCCTAATTTCCGGGTTATTTAGCCCGGAACCCCCCGCCCCTGCTGTCGATGGTAATTTGTCTGGATTGCTTTCAGCTGCTAGGCGTTGTGACATCTTCCTTGAGTAGACGGAAATATTCGAGATGCTCGAGGACTAGAAAATGGGCATCAGTCAGCATAATTGAATCCGGTAAGAAGCGGCTTTCACCTACGAATAACTAAGTGACCTTTAAGATGAATCTCTGAGAAAGCGATTATCAAGCGGCGCGGGTCTGGAACGAGACAAAAGATGAAAGAAACCAAGAATCATTGCCCATAGGGTGGTGACCATGGAATAAAGGGGCAATCCACGCATGTTAGGAAATTTAAGGAAACAAAGAATGGGGCCTTCAATGTCAGGGCACACCGCTAGACAGCCATGGCGTTGTCTCTTCAGGGGGTTGTGATGATATGCCCCACGTCTCAAATCGGGCATCAGTACCATAACGGCACGTTCCAATTCCCGTCTTTACGGTCAGGGATACCAGTAAAAACGCTGGCAATGGAATGTACCGCAGACATGCAGGGAGATTACGAGTATCAGGCGTCACTCGTAGGATGGGCCTACAAAATATGATCCATCTTACGCGTAGCCTCTGCCTAGAGAAAGTACGTTGCCTACGCACTTACTTACTGCAGCACCGCAGACGCCTTCAGCACTGCCGCATTAGCAAGCCTATCGACGAATTTATTGCACACAGGTCATTCAAATGAGTCAAGCGGTACCCATGCCTACCTGGCGCTTTTTTTCACACAGGGGATATGAACTTGCCGGGATGAGCCCCTTTTCCGACACCCCTGCAAGCCTGCGTGCGAGAGGTCTAGAACAACGATTTCCAAGGCGCACACACTAATAGTAATCCATGCATGTTCAGAGACGAGTCCGGGTACTATTGTACCGATAACGACTCAGTGCTATGGTCTAGCTATGCTACGTCCACACAGCCACAGCAATATGTATGTTGTGTTGTTCAGCAGTAAACAGCAAGTATAAGGGGATGCCAGGGCTAGATCCAATTTCAGCAGTGAAAGCGCGGCGCATTATAGAGAAATCGAAGTGTGATGGAAGCCCCAGTAACGTGTTTAGCCCTAATGATTTGCGAAGCCAGTAAGGGCCAAAAGGCAGAGAATATGACGGATCTAATGCGTGAGAAAGATGATGCTAGAAAAAGGAAGGGAGCTGAGCACATTACAGGAGCCAGTGCCTTGGCGGGGGCACGATCTCAGCCGGGTGCCCAGGAACGGGCTTGCGTGCATCTGTGATAGCCCGGGAACCCGGCGCGCCGGTTTTTATTGGGTCCCGAAAAGCCAGGCATGATGTGTCAGGACGCTAGGATGGGGAAAATGTGGGCGATTGTCAACTTGAAGGGGACCAGGCTTTTCTTTTTTGTCCTTCTCATTGATTCTTCTACATTATTCTATTTTCTAAAATGGAGCCAACTAAACGGCCGGGTTTCCTGAAAACTACACCCTGATCGAGTTGGCTTACTTTTGCTCCTAGCTACAGTGGTAGATTTGGGTCGTGCCATTGGTGGAACGTGGCTGGGGCGCTGCAATAAAATGTCTCGTTCCTACCAGTAGCTTGATTGGATGGACCGCGTGGCATGGTCTACCAGGAAACTATGCGAGCGGGTTATACGTTGGGGCTCATCCTGCAGACTTTCAGAGAATACCAGTGTTTGGCTAACGTGCGGAAGTAGGCCAAGCATCCGCGTTTGTTGACTTGGCCAGTGCCCCACAAGTACGGACAGGCTTTTCCCTGGATTCGAGTCCAGATGCATCCTTGTACACCCACTGGAACTGAGTTCGCCGGCCCCTGGACCTACAAGCGGCCAATTCGTTGGCCGGCGTACCCCACTCGAACGCATGCAGGCGAAACGCTGGGGGAGACAATCCCGCGGACTTTTGCGGACAGACACGGTAAAATACAGGTGGCTGAGACGATCCTGTGGACTTTCACGGACAGACGTGGGTTTCATGCAGGAGAATAATCTTATGGCCTTGGCATCCAGGCATACATACAGTCGACTCCAGTCAATGAAAACGCGGGTGAAAGCACATCTACCGCTATAACAGCTTAGTGCAGTGTTCGGTTCGCTCCAATGCAACCATTCACTATTGAATGATTGGAAGTTTCACGATGGTCGGAGCCAAGACGACACGATTCGACGACTTGCCGACGGTTCGGAATCTTCGCTTTAAAAGGCCTGGCCAACCAATAGAATATTTCCATTCTATGGAAAACCCCAAGAGTTCAGATTTTCGTATTATGGCGCCAATCTGTTCCGCTTTATATGTAGACCTCGCCATGACCCGCGGGTAACCCTGACTACCCGGACCGCGACCCGGACCATGCAGGTTTCAGGGTCGTGAATCCTGACCCTGATCCTCCGTCCGGTCCGGGTCGTTAGGAGTATGACCCGACCCTGAGGGTCACGACCCTCCCCCTAGGGTCGTCAAATAGTGCAAACATCAACAAGTCACGCGTAGCATGAATTATGCAGATTTCGGCGGTATTTTTGAGTATCTCACTTACAGCATTTGTAGGCCAGCTTTTTTTTTTAGCTTTAACTCCGAATAAATTAAATCAAATTAAATTAAATTAAACGAATGCAATAAATCAATAAAACTACTTGTTCGACGTTTCATATCCATCAAGCAACCTTGAACGTTTGCGGATTCTGCCTGACACTCGGTGCTGTGTCTTTGGCAGAGGAATCACTTCTTCATCATCTTCTTCCTCATCATCCGCCGCATCCTCAACTATATCGATCACGCGTCTTTTGCGCAGTGCGTTTGCAGATGGCCCCTGCGAAGTTGCTGGGGCTTGCGAAGTTGCTGAGAGCTGTGTAGAAGGCCCTTCATCCTCTTCATCATCACTGATTGGATCAACGGCGATTTGTTGCTGTGTTCTCTCTTCCTTTGCAGCCTGTATCTCCTGGGCTGAAAGATATTCAGAAAGCATTATTCGCTCCTCTTCGTAAATCTCGAATCTTGATGTACACATATACATCATAAGGTCCGAGATTGTTTGAGGTTGTAGAGAGCCTCGACTATAATAACACACATCTCGTGCAGAGTTGAAAAGCCGCTCTACTCCTGCACCACTAGCTGGATTAGAAAGAATATCTCGTGCAAGCCTCGCCATTGCAGGGAATTTATCTTGGTGATCTTTCCACCAGGTTCGAGGCTGGGCATTTGGGACTGTGTCTGAAAGATAAATCAGCAATTCTTCCCACACAGATCAAGAGATACTCACCGCTATCAATATACCTTGTAAGCTCGTCTGACTGTGCCAGTTGTGAAATCTGAGATTGCTGCGACTCGTCTCGAACACAGGCCAAATCAAATTCATCCGTTAGAGTGTTCATTGTAGGGGCACGCAATACCTGCTGCTCTTCGGTAAAACTCTTAGAGTACCTCTCGACGCAGGACTCAAGGCTCTGGCGATAGGTTGCTCGGTAATCAATCCCTTCCACTGGGTCTGGGTCCTAGTCCGAAGTTGAGAAGAACTGGAGTTTATCCTGTGGAGAAAGGATTGTGCCAATGGGGTAAAGATAATCGTCAACCTTGTCGGTGTCTCGGTAGTAGGTTGAAATCTTGCTTTTTGCCGCTTCGAGGGATGTAAGCATCACCTGCTTCCAAGCAACCCTCTTCCGCCTAAACTGTCTGATCGACTTTTCAAGGTGGTCAAAGAGCTTATTGTAGACCTTAAAGACCCGGTGGATAGTAACATCTCTTTTCTTTGACAGAAGGGTTGTGAATCGGTGAAACGGCTGAAGAATGCAGAGAAGATAATCAACTTGCCGCCACTGCTCCTGACTTGAGGCAAAGTGCTCTTGGTCGTACTGGGAGCAGAACGCATCGAAGGCCTGCTGGAGCTTCTTCGCGCGTGCGAGCATCCAGAATGTTGAATTCCATCGAGTAGTAACATCCTGGATTGGAACAAGCTTTGGCTCCTTTGTTTGCAAGTTGTAGAATGACTCTCTGCGTTGAGGACTCGCATTGATGAAGATTGCAAGGCTTCGGACCTAGGATGTAGATTAGTAAAATAAGATGAAATTCAGTTCAAAGGTCTTACCTTATTCAGAGTGTCCACGATCTCTCTTTTCTGCTGCCTCGCACGTAGGACTATCTACACGATCATCAGACCATGTCTGCTCAACCGTATCATTCTTTGGAATGGCCTTCATCTTCCCAAGGAGATTCCTAAGACTAAGCTGGATCACGTGTGCAATACAAGGTACCCGGATGATAATGACGTCGTTCGAGGATTGTAGTGACTCAATTGCCTCGTGGACACTTGCCAGGAGAGTCTTGTTGTTTGAAGCGTTGTCGGTAGTTACCGAAAGCACTTGATCTGTGATCTGGTGCTCCTGCAGCAACTGGAAAACTACTTCACTCAAATTTGCACCTGAATGAGATCCATGTAAATGTTCAAATCTAAGCAATATCTCACGATACTCCCACTGTTCGTCAAGAAAGTATCCAATGATAGCCAAAAATGCCTGCTTGAATGGAGATGTCCAGCAATCAAGGGCAAGTGATAGCTTAGCGCCAGAAGGGAGTGTCTGAAGGATACTCTTTTGGTTCTCACGGACTAGATCTCGTAGCTGCCGGCGCATAGCCTTAGCGGATGGAATTTCTGGCATTGATGGTGCAAGCCGAGCGTAGGAGATAAGATCACGAAACTCGGGATGCTCGAGAAAAAGGAAGGGAAGATGCGACACAGTAAGGAGCTTGGCAAGCTTCTGCTGCCAAACTCGCTGATCGAATCTTCGTATAGTCGCATTCTGAGCCTAGAAGTAGAGGTAAGAGTTAGTATGCTCAAAATCATAGCAAGGCTTCATACATACAGCATGCTCTAATGCAAGCTTGATATTTGGCTTCTTCCCTGTAACATTGACGACTTTCCGACAGTTCACCCCATTATAATGCTTGTTTATTGAAGTTGTCCCTGAGTGAGCCCACCCGGGGTGGTCAAGCACCTTCCGACACTGATGGCACATAACCCCAGGCTTTCCATCTTTTTCGAGGGCAACCTGGTCATAGTGTTTCCAGCACTCCGCGTCACGTTTCCCATCCCACGCCAACCGTTTTTTCTTCCCGAAGTCGGTTTAAAGCCACCAATTCACGAACTCATTACCCATTGCTAGGGAATATAGGATGAATGTCCTAATCCGATCAGGACAGATGCGATGAAGGCAATTCGGACCTGATAACGCGTCTAACGTGTCGAGGGTCTGTGGACTTCCAGACAGCACAGGAGAATAAAGCTGAAATGGTGAAGTATCAGCAACATATTCAAGATGATCTGACAGTACTGCCTCATAGACAGAGGAGGAAAATGGGTCGGAGAATTGGGGCATGAGGAAGGAGAGGTGAGGATGAGAATACTACAGTTCTTACCTATAAATTTTCTTTCTCACAATTAGATGAAGGACTCAGGGATAGAAGTGCGTAATCAGTCTGTTTGTCAATTTTTTCTGGTTGATAGAGATGATAGATCATATCTTCAGCTCCACTTTCTCATGATCGCCTGAGCTAATTAGCTAAAATTTAGAGTCAGAAGGGTCGTCCGGGTTCCCCTGAGGGTCACCCAGACAGCCTACTAGCTTCCATGTTATACCCGGTGGTTTTGATTGGGGTACGGAAGGCTGAACATCGCGTGAAAGCGCGTTGGTGGCTGGCTTAGAGGCATATGCTAGAAAATCCCACCTTGATCCCAAAATGAGAGAGCAGCAAGCAACGGGAATACTGGATTTCTCTACGCCAAAGAAAATACACCATAAACGAGAGAGAACTTATCCAGCGAAGGGGTGCGCACTGTATTACTTGTTGCATTACTGAGCTCGCGGCCTTGGCGTCTGCCCCAGGCAGAAAATGTAGGAACCGCGGCAAGAGGAAAAGCGTTTCCCCGATACCTTGAACCCCTTTCCTGATTTCAATGCCCCTTACCAGGGGTTACTCGCGGCCCCTTTCAGAGGCAATGAAGAGCGTTGTACCCTGCGATTCCCTTGGCTCAGGACCATGACATCGTCGCTATGTTAAAGACCCGTTCACTTCTACGAAGCGAAATTACATATAGTGCTGCAAAGGATAACGACGCTAATATTCTCCACGAGCTAGGCTACCGAGACCAAAAGATCCAATTTTTCACCCATCTTTACCGGAATCGAGAGCTGATCAAGTCGCTCGTTGCCCGTCATCTCGGCCTTGGGTCTCAAGATCTGTGTCATGTTGTCGATGTAGAGGACTGGATACACGGAAGCTTTAATGTTTGTATTCGGGTTGATATTTTTGGCTCAACAGGAGTGGTCGGGAGGCAGGTCATGATTCGATTTCCCCTGCCGTATCGGATTGGGGAGAATTGTTGCCCGGGCAATGCCGATGAAAAAGTCCGTTGTGAAGTTGGAACCTACACATGGCTTAAAGAAAATTGCCCGACTGTCCCCATCCCCCATCTTTATGGATATGGGCTTTCGAGCGGCAAAATTGTATTACTCTCGTTTATTCTTCTCGCAATTCGAACCCTCACTTATAATTTCACCTAGTTCACCGAATTCAACAGCCTGCCTTTCCTCTTTCGCAATATCCAGCGTCTGCGCCGACTTATTTTATGGACACTAGGATATCGAGTTCCATCCTTCTACGCTGAGAATCCCGGTAAATCTGACAATCCTCTCGGTGAACCTTACATCATCATCGAATATGTCAGTCAATCAAGTGGCAATTTGCTTTCTGCAACCTGGGAGGAAGGGCGCTTCAACCAGACTCTGCGCTCGAACCTGTTCCGAGGCCTTTCTCGCATTATCCTCACTATGGCACGGGTTCCACTGCCTAAGATTGGATCTTTTGCTATTGATGATGACGGCTGTCTAAGATTGAACAACCGGCCTCTTACCATGGAAATACAACAATTGGAAAACGAAAGAATTCCGGTGAACATACACCGGGCCACGACACATCTTGGTATAGAATCCTTTATTCACGACACTCTTTCTCTACACGAAAGTCGCCTTCGCCATCAGCCCAACGCACTCAACAGTCGTGAAGACGGACTCTATCAAACGTCTGCACTAATGGTCATGAGAAGCATTTGGCCTTGTATTTTTAACCGGGAGCTTTTCCGGGGGCCATTTCTTTTCAACCTCACAGATCTCAACCAAAGTAATATCTTTGTTGACAGTAATTGGAATATTGTACGGCTAATAGACCTTGAATGGGCTTGTTCTCACCCTGCTGAGATGATACATCCTCCATATTGGTTAACAAACCAAGCCATCGACTTGATCGACTCGAGTGAATATGAGGCCCTCCACACCGAATTCATGAACACCTTTGCGGAGGAACAGAGGAGTTCCGACCCTTTTCATCTGTACCCGACAATGAAGAAAGGACTTGAGAATGGCACATTCTGGTATTCTCTTGCTCTTACGAGTCCTTCGGCCTTTTCCACAATTTTTTATGACCACATTCAGCCCAAGTTTACAAATGGTCATGGTATTCCCGAGTTTTGGAGCATCACGATGCCATATTGTTTCTTAAATACAGCCGCCTTGATTGAACAAAAGGTCAAAGACAAAGAAAGATACGATGCTTCTCTACAAGAAGCATTTCGATGCTAGATCACTGCTTCCCGCATATCTGCAATTATCTTGGTTGATTTTGACTTTGTCCCTGGCTATTGTTTTCGTCCCTTTTCAATTGCTCTGCTGCAGCCTGGAGACTTGCAATTGCCTTTCCACTTCTCTTTTGCTGCGCGGCCTTCCCGGAAGAGGAGAGCTGGTTCATAGATTTTGCATCCATTTTCATAGCGACACTTGCTTCTTCGACTTTGCCATCATAACTTGAATCTGATGCTCGATCCGCCATCTAGAGGCAACGCGTTGAGTAATCTTTTTGCAGAGTTAAGAAGGCCTCAATAGAATCTTACCGCCGGCACAATAGGGTCTGACTGGAAGGAAATATTGGCACCATATGGCAAGAGAGCATGTGACGTTTGCCGAGGTAGTAGGAAGGGTATGCAAGCTTTGGTAGGAGAAGCCCTTATGTATATTCTCTTCCGTTTTGGCCGGCGAGTGGGGGCTATATACCCCGCTCTGCCACTACGTTTTCCGGTAGAATGATTGGCTCTTACTGACTCATCAAGAGCGTTTTGAGAGGGGCCCCGTATAAGAATCGTAGGTCGCTACCGGTGTTCTAGGTCTATGGATTGTTCAACATTAAATCTGTCGTGTTAGTGGGCGAGCCGTGCCTTGATCGGGGGGGGGGGGGGGTTCGAGCGTTGCTGCGAATCGGAGACGTTAGCTACCCGCCGCCTCCACTATAGTAAAGCCTAAGCCAAGCCAGAATGGGAACTGTCGACATATGCACCACTCGTTATGAGGAGAAGTGCCTAGGGAGTGACCAATGCCCTCTCAACCTACGAGACACAGCACGGAGGCCTGTGCGTTGAGATATGCAGAAGCTGTCCAATTAGGAAGAATCTCTACACGACATAAGTGAAGCCTGGAACCAAATCTGACGATTCCCCCTATTCCTATTCTATTCGAACCAAAGGAAAACAGTTTCCTTCCCACAACCACTAGTCAACCATGGGCGCCAACGAGAGTGTTGTCTTGAGTGCTCTAGAAGAGTTTTATGCAATTACACCGCAAAGTAGTTCCGAGATCAGTGAAGACTTAATTCAAAAATGCCGAGCGCTGTGGTCAAGCACTCCTCCGGAATCTAGGAGAAAGATCGGATTGTGTGCGTGTTCTAGGAGATCCAAACCCAATAACTTTACGAAGCAAGATATCATCGTCCCTGACTTTCCGGCCTCCACTATTGAACAATGGATCCAGCAACCAGAAACACTTTTCAACAAAAGTGGCTGTCAGCTTAATCTACTTGTCTCGGAATCTCCTACCAAGGCTGTGCGGTGTTACGCCGAGTTACGCCGAGAAACTCGGGGACCAGGAGGATGGTGCTCTAGATACGTTTCAGAGCGGCTTTTCAAAGTTGTAATGATGAAGCTCAGCGATATTGGACAGGTAACCGAAGAGGTTTCTGCCACTATAGCAAACAGTAACCTGAAGATTGATGTCGCGCAATACATTTGTGAAGGCCGTCGACTATACGGATTGTATCGTATGACCCGCTAAGTATCACTCCACTATACGTCTCGGAAGCGATACTTCGCAATATGCTTGAGAATTCGGATTTTTAAAACGGAAAATTCTTCGAGAGTCAGCCACGGCGGCCGCCGACCAAATTCTCAGGTAGGGGGGATTCGTCAAGGCTCAGGATATATGATGCTTCAAAGGACAGTGACGCTAATATTCTCCCCTAGTTTGGCTATAGAGATAAGAAGTTCTGACTCTTTACTCACCTGTACCGAAACCGAGAGCTGATTAAGTCGCTTATTACCAGACATCTTGGTCTTGCGTCTCGAGATCTGTGTCATGTTGTGAATGTGGAGGACTGGATATATGGAAGCTTTAATGTCTGCATTCGGCCTGATAGTCTAGAGAAAACCTAGTGGTAATCGGCTTCTCCGACAAGCCCAAGAATCTGTGATACCTTTTTTCTTGGAAAAAAAATTGACCTGATTATAAACCTTCTTTTGCCATAGCGCTGCATATGCTAGTCATACCGTAGGGTCGCACTAATCGCTTGAACGAAGACGTCTTGCTTCCACCGTGTCCTCCGTGCATTCTGGAGATATACATTTCGGTCTCAAACAAACCGGCACTGTCCACCATACTATAATCGTCTTCCGGTCCCAAAACTGTGCGTACGGCTGTGTATGTGGGTATTTCAGAGGTGGACCTAGTTGCGGAAGATTCGAACCTGGTGATGCCAAGATGCAGCTGATCGATATCCCAGTATAGATACGCGTCTGCAGAAAGTCCTCGGGGTAGATTCCTGGCCACGAGTCTGTCAAAATTGTAAATCTTGAGGCTTGCTTCGCGCCCGTCACTCAGCGGAATAACCCAATTTCGAATTGAGTAAGTTGGAGCCACGAATTCCTTGAAAGTAACGCTGACTACGATGCCAAAGAGCTTGGCTAGATTCAACGCTGATCACTACAGCACCCACGATGGCGTCGCACGCAAGCCCATGAAGTCTAGCTAGATGTCCGATGCCACCTTGTAGCCACAGCCCGGCGCCTACACTTGGGCGAGCGCCTAAGGGCACTGTTATGCCCGCCGCCATTGTTTTGCGGATGATATCCTCCGTCGTATAGCCGGTTTCGGCGATGACCAGGTAATCGGAACTGGAACGCCATCCTTTTCCATCACTTCCGGCCGTGAGAATGTGTACTTGGTCAAAGGCTCCCATGTCAACTGCAACGACATTAGACCATAGGCAGTGGCCGCTGTGACCCCCGCCAATAACACTTAGGCTTAGCCTATGCTTCAAAGCCCATTTAACACACTGCTGGACGTGTTGAACATCTGTCGGCCTTACAATTGAGGCAGGATGGCGGAGACGAGCCTCACGGTTTTTGACTCGCTTGTTCCCATTCAATAACGGGACTTCCATCGTGAGCTCGGATAATGCCGTCGCATCTTTGGTGAAGGCTGCCATAATAGCGGGGGAGCTGAAAAAAGCTGGTTTGGGTGGGCTTCTTCCCGACGGGCTAAGGTGCGGCACACCTTCCGCCATTCGGCTCGGATAGCCCTGTCCGCTTCCACATCCTCTGCAAGAAATCCTGCGACGAAAGAGGCAAAACGGTCCAGTTCGTCATCGTCATCCATCACGCATACAGATCCGGTTGGAAAAGAGGCCGTTCGATGGCACACTAATCCGCCAAGGTAGAAGACCTTATCGCGATGGAAAACGACCACCATTCCGCCTCCTGGCTGTTCAACAAGCATTTCTATGGCCTCTTCGATAAATTTGGCTTTTGGATTCATGCCATACATGCTGTGGCAGAATAGGATGATATCGAATTTTTCATCATTGTCACACCCACTGTTACCGATATCGCTCCTTCGGTGGCTATGTCGCATGAATGGCATCCGATGAATACGGGGCGGGCATTTCAGACCGGGCAGTGGAGATTCTATCTCCGAGGCAGAGGAAAGCCCATCTTCGACACTTGTAGCAAACAATTTATCGGGTTCAAATGCAGTGTATCTCCAAATCTTCTGTCTCAGATGTCTGGCAAGTCATGCCAGTACACTTTTCGGGCCAGGTCCGATCTCTAGTACTGAGATCCGGCCACGCGATTTGATGAGGGGTGCTAGCAGACGAGATAGTTGAGGAATGATAAAATCTCGGTACGACATCCACCCTGAGCCCCGCACCAAAATGTCGAAGCCAAGGCTGTACTGTTTGTCTGACAGTGGCTTTCTTGGGGAGGAGACCGTTTCCATGGCCCTCTGCTTAAGGGCACACTTCAGAGAGTCGAGAGTCGCCATGTTAATTCGGCTAAAGTATTCTATGACAAAGGTTGTTAGTGTTGGTCCTTGGATGTTGCAGGGTATTTTATAGTGGAAACTGGCCGGCAGAAGCGCAAAGTAACTTGTGGTCGGGTCATGGATCGAAGTCAGCTATAATGTGCCAACGCATTAAACTAGCAATGCGGTAAGATCCCAAGTGAATCCCATGGCCGCGTTAGTATGATAAGATAATTTTCAATTTCAAAAAGAAGAAAATTAAAAATTAACAGTAAAGCGCGAGAGAGTGCCGTGGAACGAACACTACCTTGTACAGCCCCTATGCCAACACATCACCACCACGGTAAGCCAGTATCTTCAATTGGTGAAAGAATACATAGCATCGGCGAGGCTGGTCTTCTGATGCTGGTGTGGTATACCTGTGCAGGGATTTTGGCAACTCATTCATCATTCAGACTTCTAGGATATACCTGCTGGCTCCACCGACTGGCTCCACCGAATGGCTCCCTCCCGCAGCTCTTTCGTACTAACATGCACCTTGCCATGATGAGACTATTTTTTACACTGTAGCGTTGGGCATGATAACCAGATTTCTTTTTCTACGGCCGAGCAAAGGAATTTCATACATATGATTAGAAAAAGCAGCGAACAGACCAAGTGCCAGGATGCTCATTATGAAGACACTAGGCTATGGTGATTAGCACATATTATTGGGTGCCTCGAGGCACAGGATTAGTGCCATTGCAGATTGTATTTTGTTTGCCTCCGAACAAGTAGCGTCGTCATGGCGAGGGCTGACCAGACCATGTTCAGAAGTTTTCGCAGATAAAACGCGATCACTGGTTGACCTCTTGATCTACCCAACCACTTACCATCCGATTCAAAATCATGAGCCCTGCATCCTCGAAGCCGTCGGCACCTTTATTTTATGAGCCAAGCGGCAGCTCTCTCGCCGACGCATCCACGAGCCTCCACTCTGATACATTGTATTATGATCCTTATAAAAAGAGAGACATGATTCCACAGTTTTAATCGTCGCTCTATTTTCGTGCCCGTCGTCAGGAGTTTGATCTACTCGAAGACAAAAATTACGCCATCACCGCAACTGCCATGTCTGATATCATGATTGACGAGACCGAAGCTATTCAGACCACAGAGACCCTACGGTGTTGAAATAGTACACTGAGGGACTATACAGCATGTAAAATGGGTGGAGTATCTCTTGCAAAGATAAATGGAACTATGAATATAGTGCCAGAAATGGAATTGTAAAACTGTCTAATCTCTTAATACATAGAAAGAAGCCCATATTTATAGGCTTCTTCTTCCTCCCCTGGAATCCATCAATTTATAATAGAAACAGAAAGAAAGAAGCTGAAAGGGCGATGATAGCACTGAAAGCAGCCTGAACTGAAATTACTTCCTGTGATATAACAAGCTGGCGGTTGTATACAGGAATTGGTGTTGTAGACGGCAAGCTGCATCGACTAACCTCGATTCCGTAGGACCTCGAAGCTCTTGGCATGGGAGTTGCATAGTGATTCGTAATGCATAAAGAATGCCGAATTAGGATTAGCGTTGAAAGCTCCATGTTAATTACTGAGAATTAACATGGATTCTCAACATACGGTATGTATGCCACTAGAATATATTATTTACTATGTCGGGTTATTGAATTATTATGAGTAGTTTGAATACTATGAATGGCCCCCCTCGCGAACCCTGTGAGGAAGTTAATCAAAGACCACGGTGGCGACTGTCAGCTGTCCTACACAAACTTCCAATACCCTGAGATCACCAACTTACCCTGACGGCCTCAACTGGCCTTCTAAGTTATCCAATATCATCCTCCTGGAGGATTGAACTTTTCTAAGCTCCATCTCAGGTCTTGGGACAAGACAGCGTTTGGGGTCGATGCTGGGAGAAAATGAGAAACGACTCCAGAAGCTTACGGAGGCTGTGCGAACAATTCTTGAATGTGTTGGTGAAGATCCAGAGCGAGAAGGTCTACGTGACACTCCAGAGCGATACGCCAAGGCCATGCTTTATTTCACCAAGGGTTACGATGACAATATTCGAGACCTGGTCAATGGGGCTGGTTTCCATGAGGACCATGACGAATTGGTCATTGTGAAAGACATAGATGTTTTCTCCCTCTGTGAACACCACATGATTCCCTTCACTGGCAAGGTACAAATTTCTACGTCTAGCTTTGTCGTATAACGCTGACCATGTGAGGCAGATGCACATCGGTTACATCCCTGATGGCCGCGCCCTTGGTCTCTCTAAATTGGCCCGTCTGGCTGAGATGTTCTCTCGCAGACTCCAGGTCCAAGAACGCCTGACTAAACAGGTTGCTCAAGCTATCTCTAAGGTACTGAAACCTCAGGGGGTCGGTGTTGTTATACAATCCTCCCACTTTTGTATGGCCATGCGCGGTGTACACAAAGTGGGCAGCACCACAATCACCAGCTGTATGCTGGGATGCATGCGATCATGTGCAACAAACAGAGAAGAATTCTTGGCGTTCTTTCACAGAAGATAACTAATTCAGTACTCCTCGGGTATACTTTGGCCACGTTATGAAGATCCACATTGTCATAAGCGTTTTAAATATTGCTTAATGAGCACCCACTGACCCACGGTCTGTTTCGATGCGCGCCTTGTGTGAGCAGCTCTACTCACTCTGAACACTGGGCGATATATAACTCTTTGATCTCAAAGAAGAGCGAGGAAGTTGTCACTGACTTCCGCTGCGGCACAAAAAATTTGATCGTCGCCACCAATGTGCTCGAAGAAGGCATTGATATTCCAGCATGTCATCTAGTCATTTCATTCGAACTTCCAGACAACATGACATCCTACATCCAACGCCGGGGCCGAGCACGACAGAGTATCTCTGAATTCGTCATCATGGAAGAAGATAATTGTGAATCCCTAGCTTCACGTCAATGGAATGTGCTTGAAAAGAAAATGCAGGAGCTATGTTTCGACCATCATCGACGTCATCAAATAGTGAAGATAGACGATGGAGAATCTGAAAACATAGTTCTCCGGTTATCTCTGGACACAGGGTTTGTCTTCTCTGCCATAATCTCTGTCCTTATGGCTAACGCAAGGAAATTACGTTCACAGGGCGCTGCTGACAGCAGAGAATGCCATATCCCATTTATACCATTTCTGCACAACTCTGCAAAGTGAGACACCAGGCCGAACCTCTCCTTCTTTCTCATGTGAGAGTAACGAAAAAAATCACTTTCGATCTACAGTCTATCTGCCGAGTGGTGTTGATAGTTCGTTACGAGTAGCGAAAGGGCGCCATTGGTGGGCCACAAAGCAGTCAGCACGACAGGATGCGGCTTTTCAAGCCGTTCACGCTTTACATCGCCAAAGTCTCATCAATAACCATTTCCTTCCTTTGTTCCAGGATAATTCATGGGCTGAGATGAGTCAACAAAAAGCTGTGGCTGCCGCACTGCCCTTAGTGGAGAACTTTATCAGCTTCTGGAAAGACATTCCAGGCCATTGGACCGAACGAACAATATACAGATGTCGCATCGAGGTTTGTAAGAATGGGGAAGTACAATCAGATCTTGCGATGGCTCTTTTTACACCAGTAAAGCTACCAATTGATGCGAATGTGGACTTATACTGGGATAACCAAACAACCTTTAGGGTAACATTGCAGCCCTTCAACCTTGAAACAGCGCTATCACCTTTTTTAAGGTCCGTCATACGGGAGATAACGACCTTATTATTCCATTCGACTCGCGGAAATTCCCCACAAGAAGATTATTCGGAGTTTCTTCCATTCTTTACTCCGGACCTCCCCTTAGAAGAGCTAGAAGACTGGCTTGATATCAATCGAGGATCCCTTGCTATTTGGAGTGAGCAAACTCGTGTGCCTCTTCTTCCCCCTGGGGGTTTCATCCGAAGCCCTAAGCTTCATTTCACTCTTCACATCTTTGTGAGGTGGATTCGAAACCCAGATGCAAGTGGATCTACAATCGAATGTCGACCGTTTGAAAAAAGGCGGAACCTCATACAGCAAGCAACATTGGCCGATCAAATCTCCACACAAACTTTCACCAAAACAGCCTGTATAGCTGCCACTGAGTGCACCATTGATTTCCTGCCTTTGGAACTGGGTCGGACCAGCCTCCTGATTCCGCCAATCATACAATTACTGCATCAGCATCTGATGGCGCAGTCTATGCGCGTTGAAATTTTTGGAGATGTGCCTGAAATCGGATTGAGTTCTCTAGCGGAGGCAATCACATCTCCTTCTTCTCAATGGCCAGTAAATTACCAGCGACTAGAATTTTTGGGTGACTCTCTGATCAAGTTCTTGGTCTCTACGCATGTCTTTTATACTTATCCTCGATGGCATGAAGGCTACCTATCAAAGATGAAGGATTTGCTAGTCTCAAACGAGAGACTGACGCAAGCGGCCGTGAGTGCTCACTTGGAACAATTTATCTGCGCTGATTTCATCACGCGAAAACATCCAATCTTTTGGTAGAATAAAGGAGACGCTGCGGACAAAGGGATTCCGAGAAAAGTATATGCTGATGTGGTAGAAGCTCTCGTAGCCGCTGCCTATGAACACGGTGGAATTTCGCTCTCCCGAAAGCTTGTCGGGATTTTTCTACCGGAGATTTCCGACTTCACGCCAATACCCCAAGAACAACCAAAGAAAAATTGCCAATTCCCGGTCCATTTGGAAATCAAACTTGACAAACTTCTTGGCTTCAAGTTTAAGAACCGGGCTCTGATCTGGGAGGCGCTCACACACCCATCATGGCAAAGAGACCAAACAACTGGGTCTTACCAACGACTTGAATTCCTGGGAGATGCGGTTTTGGACTTTCTCGTTGCAAGAAGACTGCACGCTCAGGTTCCAAAGCTTGCGGAAGGTCGAATGACGGAAATTCGAGCCGCTTTGGTAAATGCCGACTTCTTGGCATTCCTCTGCATGGATTTCGCTCCCACCGAGACATGTTACTACGGGCAGGAGATAACAGCAAGCAATTTTGGGACGACCGTTCAACCAAGAAATACCGCATTATGGATGTTCATGCGACATGACGCTTCAGATGTTGTTAAGATGCAGACATCGTGCAGCAACATATATCGCATGCTTGGAGATGCAGTCAAGAAACCCCTAAAAAGTGGGCGCTCATATCCTTGGGCCACGCTTGCCCAGCTAAGAGCATCTAAGTTCTACTCAGACCTTATTGAGAGCACTATTGGGGCAATTTTCGTTGAAAGTGGAGGCGATCTGGATGCATGTGAACGCTTTTTGGAACGTATCGAGTTGATGGCTTATCTTGAGCGTTTCGCGGCGCATGATGTAGAGTTAGAACACCCAAAGAGTGCTATGGATCGTATTATGGGTACACGCAAGGCCGACTTTCGGGTGAAAGAAACCGAGAATAGTTTGCACGATATCTCTGTTTGGATGGAAGGTGAAGAAGTAGCGTCTATCAATCACTGTTCATCAAGAGCTGAAGCGTTTGTGCGAGCCGCCGAAGCGACGCTCTCGTTTTTGTCACGAACTTGAAATTAATTATAAGGAAAGGAAGAATTGATGAGATTAATTCCAAGAGCGTTGATTATCAAGTCCCTTGTATTACTAGTGCATCGGATACACCTGAGCAGTTTACTTTTGTCACTTGTAATCAGGATAGTACAAATTGCCAGAATAGTGGATACAGCAATACAGAGAGTTGAATACCATTGATTGAACCCCTACATTTACAATACGGAATACACCGACAGTTATGAGCCCGGTTCCCACTGAATGAGACTACTGTAGTTGGTATACAGTATCTAGCACGCAGCTAGAAGTGTCTCGCAACCCCTGAAGCTATACAGAGCTACCCCTGAATCCAGCAATGGAGGCAGCATCAATCCTCTCCGCCATAAAGGGCGAAAAACTGAAGGACGCGCCGCAATGGCTCACCTGGTTTGCAAAGGTGCAGCTATGCGCGATGCAAAAGAACGTCTGGGATCACTGCAACCCGGATGCCCCGCCAACCGAACGACTCGATGCCCTAAAAGAACCGATGGAACCGGAATACCCTGAGGAGGGTGACGAGAGGGATCGAAGGATCTGGCGAGATCGAATGGACGTGTATAAAATGAAGTACACTAAATGGGAGAAACAAGCAAAGGGACTGAGCGATGTAAATGAATATATCCTCACATATCTTGACCCAATGCACCACCTCGCTCTGATTACATAGAGTCTTTAGTTTCTGTCAATTTATAACAATTAGCGCGCGAAATCGTGCGGTGTTGGTGGCCGCGTAGTCGGTCTTAGAGGGTTGAACGTGGTATGTTAAAACGGGGCGCCACTTCACGGATTGAAGATATTTCTTGATTTTTAGAAGCCTGGATCGCTAATAAAATCCTACCCTCTTGCTCTATTAAATTTCTAGAGCTTCGGGAGCGTATTGGTGGCATGGTGGGTGGTTGAATTGACTAAGTGCTAATTCATGGACGCGTTTTGGGTGGTGTGGCCGGTTCGGTAGTGAAATACGTTAACTAATCTTTTAGGGACTTCTTAAAGCTTATACTACTATTTAATAGTATATACAGTCACCCCGCAAAAGTTTCCGTAAAACCCTTCCCACCTCAATATATATATATGCAACCTACACATTTCAATTAATTTACATACCACCAATTTAAAATGCATGCTTTTAAAAAATAGGAATTAAATGCATAAATGGCTAATTCATTAAACCTGTATTTTTAATATCTAGTATACCACCCTTCAGCTGCAATTACAGCCTCACATCGACGATTCATGCTCTGGATCAACCGGTCAAAATAATCCTGGCCTAGCTCCTCCCATGCTTTATGAATTAATTCCTGAAAATGTGTAACTAACTGCTCTTTAGTCCCTTCAAATTTATCTAGGTCAGGATCGAGGCGATCGATCATTTCTTTTAGCTTCGCCCAGGCATGTTCAATAGGGTTCAAATCCGGCGAATACGGCGGCCAGTCAGTAGTAGGAATTGCATTCTCCCACAACCACGCTTTAATAATTTTAGCCGTAAGAATTGGAGCGTTATCATGCATAAAAATACGCTCCGAATTCATACAAAATTGAGGTAGGTTTTCTTCGAGGGTTTCGAGATATGACTGTGAAGAGAAGCCTTGTCGTGCGGAGAATGGATCGCGATTCATTTGATATAAATCAGAATAACCACCAACGAATATCGCTCCCCAAATCATGATTGAGATTCGTTTTGATTTCGAATAAGTGACCACGTATTCTTTTTTCCATTTTTCATTCCGGTGGTTTAGGTGAAAGACCCAACGTGCGCGCTTCCCTTTTCCAATTTCTACCGAACATTCGTCGGACCAAACCACCCGCTTCCAGTCTTCCCACGTCCAATTCCGGTGCTCTAAAGCCCAAGTAAGACGTAGAGCGGCAACTTCCGGTTTCAAATAAGGTCTTTTCCGTGCTTTCCAATGTCCGTAGCCCGAGGATTTTAACATTCGAAGGAGGGTATCATCGGATACGGTTAAACCACTTTGTTCGCGTATCTCGGAGTAAAGAATAAAGGGATCACGCGTAATCAAACGTAGTATCAAGCTTTTATTATCTTCCGATAGAATTGGGGGGCGACCGGTTCGAGGAAGGGTTTTTCCATCGGCTCGTAGGGATTGTTGATCGAGGGTAAATTGGATCGTTGAGGTAGATAAACCATGAAGCTTTGCAATTGAGGTAATTGAGCAGCCTATAGATGCCTGGCCGGTAATTTGACCCCTTAGGTTTGGAGAGAGTTCAGTCTTCCTCACCTATTAGAATTAATAGGGCCTAGGGGTGTTCTTGGAACCATGGTTGATAGTTGAAAATGGTGGGTTTATTAAGACGCGATTTAAAAACGCGGGTGTGGGGCCAATTTTACGGAAACTTTTGCGGTAGAACTGTAGATAAACTGGGCCCTGACCCACTTTTTTCTTCCCATGGTTAACTCCCAGACCCTAATTCAACCCTGGCTCGGTTTACCCACTCCCAAGGGATAGGTTAAGCCTCACGTAGATCTTGCTCAGCGATGAACAGCCACATTAAATTAGTCGTAACACAAATGAACTAGGTTGCTCGTTCTTACTTGATCAACAAGCTTTCTACCATAGCCCTGGCAAGTTAATCTATCTATCCACTAAAGAAAGCTTTGTCCGTTCATTCCTACTTCGTGACAATTTATAATCTGTCAATAAAAACAATCCACCCAAGGTCTTCTAAACAGACTTTAACCCAAGGGGTTGGAGAATTGCTGCAGAACCTCACAATGATTGTGTTCAGAGAAGCGATGCTCCTAAGCTCTGCGTTGATTCTCACTAATATATCACGAGCAGACTGCATGTTGTCCGAACTCTCTGCGAGAAGATAGGTGGAGCTTTTGTCGTAAACTAGGGTCTCCAATGTTTTTAGTCCGGTGCATTCATTCCGGAGAAGCTGCAAACTTTGTAATGCGTCTTCTCTGGGCCTGGTTTCTCCTAGTTGGCTATGTACTCTTTCTGTGGCCGGAAAGGAGATACGTAAACGGGGCAAGAAACCTGCATTGACAGGTCCGATGCTGGTTATAAATGACCTCAGAATGTTGCTTCGGTAGTTCGCTATTTCCACTTCTTCGAGGGTAAAACGATTCGCGCTGTATAGGACAGCCCTGGCCTCATAGGATACTTGTCGGCTCGTATACAGTAAGGCAAGCCATGCGCGGGGTTTATTGGGCATGAAGACCCCTAATGGACATCCCGGATCCTGAAAAAGATACAGGGGCTCAGGGACAGCGAGAACTCGTCTGAAGATATCATAGCGAATCTCGATCGGCAAGGTGAAAATACCGAGAGCAGTTGAGGACGATGTTTTCGAAGGCAACATATCCGATATCGAGCGGGACATGCTAGGTGGACGGTACGGTTGTAAAATCGTAGCGCAAGCGCGGCAAAGTATCTCCTTTCAAAGAAAAGAGTGCTCGAAAGGACGAGGAATGATTTTTAGTCCAATAATACCCTAGCTAAAGAAAACCGTTAGATTAGACAAAGAACGTGTGCTTTTGTGCCGCTTACTGATCGCCACTAATTCGAGAGTGCCATTTATAGAAGGTGTTGATGGCAAGGGACAGGAAAATTGCGACCTGAACTGACAGCGTGCGATTAAAAAATTCTCCTGACTTTGGGCCGGTGGGGCATTCTAATTGAGGGGTAATTTGTCAAACCAAAAGCGGGCTCCAGGCTGACGGCTTAAGTGTACCTTCATTTGTAAAACGCTTGCTGCTTGAATTAGTGGGAATATTTGAAAGTTGATCCACTATCACTTTTGAAAATAAAGAAAAAGGCGAGCTGGTGAAGTGTCAGTCAGCAGAACAATAGATTTTGAAGAAGATTCCGAGACCCTAAAATGCACCCAAAAGTACTTGCGAAAGAGTGGAAGCAGCATCAACTGATGGTTGGTCACGTGAGACTTATAGGTAACATCAGGCCATTAGTCAATATCCTATTTGGGTTAGTTACATACTGAGATTGCTGCGCATGCTCCCACAATCCTTTCGGTTCGCAAAATTGTCTATGGGGGAATACACCAGCTTCTGATGTGCTACAACTGGAAATACGCGAGGGACTTGCTTACCAAGGGGATATTGCGCTTTTGTTTGCTGGTTTGTCTCCGGGTCCGCGCAATTGGAAGATTCCGTGGCCGACTTGAGACCCTCAGCGTCGGTCAATTTGCGAAACGTTGTAAAAACTGTCGCAGAGTTTCCACGTCAGTCCAAAAAGAGCATGTTTCTGACAATAAATGATAGAGACTCTGCGGCCGTTGCGAGGAACCTTATTCTTCTTTTCTGATCAGCACTCGCCAAATTAGGCCAAGGCCGTGAGATTACCGAGACATTGATTCATATTTGGTCCTTCATCAACGCCGCGTCATTGGTCTTATTTTTAGGCCAGACTATCTCTAATGCTATTCGTCGCGGAAAGCGCCTGCAGATCCCCGAGGAGTCCACAAGCCCACAGCCAAATCCCGAAAGTGCCAAGACATGATATCTCAATTAGTCATCAACTCTTGGCAATCAATATCATCGTGCCGCACCACGACTTCTTGAGTCGCGCCATTTCCCCCGCAGTGCTTCCCTGCTCCCTTTCGGCTTTGATCCTAGCATGGAATTATGTCTATTCTTGTTTATAGACAAAAGTTGTTAATAAGATATCAGTCTGGGGGGTATCATCCGGTCAACCTTGGAGATACATTCTGTTGTAGTTCAGAGGTATGAATTGTTTATTATTTCAGGGGATACATGAGCCTATATATACAACAATGAGCTAAGTCGATTTCTAATCAACTTGGTCATCCATATAGACACCCGGAGTTAATTCCGACGGTGCGGCTTGGTTCCCGATCTGCACCAGCTTCATATCACAACATTCCCTTTCAGGATCGCTTTGCTGGCAGGGCGATACTGGAATTGTGCAGAGCAGTCAGGCCTCGGTAAAACCACTCAAAAACCTTCGTGGGAAATGAAAGTGGAAAG